TCTGCAGTTCATCCAATTTTCGCTTCTGTGAAGTCTTCCCTAATTTCCTCATTGTGCTGACAAAAGATATTTGAGATGTTTTCAGGTTTTTGCTATTACAAACCATACTGCTATGAACGTTTTTGAACACGTCTCCTGGGATACATGTCACCTGCGTTTCTTTAGGATACGTATACCTGGGAGTGGAATTGCTGGGTTATAGCATAGGCATTTGCTGAGTAATGCCAAATTGTCTTCTAAAGTGTTTGTACCAAGTTACACCTCTCCATCAGCACTTCTGTTGCTCCACATCCCTGCCAACACTTGGTATTTTCAGACTTCTTAACTTTCTTCCTCATCTCGTGGGATAATGGTATTTCATATGGTTCTAATTAGCATTTCCTTAGCATATGCATATTAGCATATGCTTATTGGCCATGCTGCTTATTCGGCAACTGCTTATTCATGTTTTTGCCCGTTTTCTATTGAGTCAACTTGTTTATTTACGGGGGCTCTTTGTATATCCTGAATACTGACCTTTTGAGAAGCAGTATAGTATAATCAGTAAGCCAGACCACCAGATTAAAATCCTGAGTGTGCAACTGTGAGAGCATGGCCACAACACCACACTTCCCTGTATCTCAGTTTCCTCATCTGTAAAATGGGGTCACTATAAACCTTACCTTTTGCTATGGGCTGAATGTTTGTACCCCTCCCCACCAATTCATATGTTGAAGCCCTAACTCCCAATGTGGTGGTAGTTAGAGGTGGGGGCCTTTGGGAGGTAATTAGGTTCAGATGAGATCATAAGGGTGGGGAATCCCCATGATGGAATTAGTGCCCTGATAAGAAGAGGAAGAGAGGGAATTCTCTGGTGGACCAGTGGTTAGGACTCAGCACTTTCACTGCCGGGGTCTGGGTTCAATCCCTGGTCGGGGAATTAAGATCCCACAAAAACAAACAAACAAACAAAAAACCAGATGGGACATAGAATTAAATATAGTGAAAAACTATAGATCTTCCAAATGAAAAAAAATAAATAAAAAAGAAGAGGAAGAGACACCTGAGCTCTCTCTCTGCCATGGAAAGATACACCAAGAAGATGGCCGTTTGCAAGCCTGGAAGAGAGCTCTCAGCAGGACCTGACCATGCTGACACCCTGATCTGGGACTCGCAGGCTCCAGAACTGAGAAATAGTCATTGTTGTTTGAGCCCCCAGTCTGTGGTCTTTGCTATAGCTGCTATAGATCTCTTGTGCACAGTCACAGCAAGTGCTCGGTAAATAGTAAGCATTTGTTATTATATGTGTAACAAATACCTGCTCTCTATGGTGGGTCTTTTCATTTTCATGATAGCATTTCAGGCAAAAAAAAAAAAATGTTTTTTTTTAATTTGGCTCAAGTGCAGCCTTAACTTGATGAAACAGGAACACTCTACTTTGCTGGTTAGGTAAGGAAGCAGGAGTAGAAGCCGAGTAACTGGCACCAGACCCCTTACTCCATGACAGTGAAGGATTCCTTACTCCACAGGGAATTGATGTCCTCGACATTCCGGCTAGCGCACCGCTGCAGAAATCATGCCAACTGAATTAGGAAGGTTTCTTTTGGTTGCTAGTGACATAAATAAATAAATAATAAATGGGAAAAAGAGAGGAGAATTATTGACTCCGTTAATGTAAAAGTCTGGTTTTGAGCACACCCGATTGAGGGGTTGTCTGCTCGCGGGAATCTTGTCACTGGCTCTGCTTCCCTCAGCGTTGTCCTCACTCTCAGGCAGGGTCTCCGGACTACACGGCCAAGGTAGAGCTGAGCCACTCGGGGCTTACATGCCGTCCGCTTAGTGGCCTCAGGAAAATAGAAGCCCTGTCCTGATTCCCAGGTACTGAACAAGGGGTGTGACCGAGGGGCGTGACCAGGGGCTGAGGTGCTCTGATTGGCTGTTCTGAGTCGCATGCACTTCCCTGGAGCTGGAGGGAGGGGCCAGTCCTACCAGAGCCACAGGGCTTGAGAATAAGGGGCCCGTGGGTCCCCAAGACATAATGGGGGTGCTGATTCCGGAAAGAGGTCGGGGGTGCTGGGCTCACAAAGCATCTACTACAGTAACATCAATGCGTTCTTCTTACCTTGGCTGGGGAAAGCATATTTGGGACTCCGGATTCAAGGAGCGATGTGGGGAGTGATGATCGAGAGAACACTTGCTCGTGGGTTGTGAGCAGAGCCCTGAAGCATGGCAGCCGGCAGGCAGCTAGGAAGAGCAGCAGCCTGGAGGGGCCTTGCAGGAGGGGCCGGGGAAGGGGCAGGTAGGAGGCCAGAGCATCTGACAGGATTTTTACATCATTGCGAGATGTCAGGTTTTACTAAAAGCTTCCTCCTACTGTTAGTGGTACTTTGGGGCAAATAAAGGGGAGAGGGCCGTGACCTCGCGGGGTGAGAACATGGAGAACAGATAATGGGATGGTGGAAGTGACTGTAGAAATGGCAGAGACAGCAGCCAAAGCCGGTGATGATAGGTGACCATAGATGGGATCACAGGACGTAGTCATGACATAGAACGTTCATTGAGCAACTACTGTGTGTCGGGCACTGTTCTGAACATGTCTCACATATCGACTCATATGTTTCTCACAACAACACCCAGAGATAGGTCTTATTATTACCCCCATTGTAAAGATGAGGAAACTGAGGCACAGAGAGGATAAGTGACTTGCCCACGACACACAGTTCTGAGTGGCAGCTCTGAGATTTGAACCCAGGCCCTCTGACTCCTAACCCTGTCACCTGCCTCACGTGGAGGGTTGGTCTTTGCAATTCTATAGGAAGAAAACCTGTTTATAACCTCCTTTTTGTGGCCACACAGCCGGGAGGCACAGACAATATCTGTTTGTCCATCTGGAGGGAAAGATGCCAGAGGGCTGAGGGACATCTAGTATCACAGAGGAGACAAGGCTCTGCTGGGGCAGGAGATGCCCCTGCTGAGTGTGGAAGGGCTGTGGGGATGAAACTGGTGAGTTTCGGCCACTTGAAACCTATTTCTCCCATTTCTTCCAATGGCTCTGAGGTAGGAGGTAGATAGGCCCCAGACTCAGCAGCTGCAGCTGGTCTCCTGCTGATGCTTTGAGTTGGGATACCAGCGGGAGCATCGGGCCCTGACTGGGTGCATTCTTGTGGATTTCCCAGCCCGACACATGCGCAGAGAAGGCCTCAGTCTAGGTTCAACCATCAGTGTCGAGGTAAAACCAACAAGAGGGAATGCTTCAAATATAAGTCAACTGGCCACTGGGCCTGTAAATGCCAGGAGCGCCCCCAGGCCACGCCCAGTCTGCAAAGAGACCGGTCTCTGGAGATGGGCGTGCCCTCAGTCCTGAAGGGGAAAGGCGTCTCTGCTCCAGATGGCCATGCTGGACAACTGAGGCGGTCCCAGGGATTCTGGCGGCTCCCCCATGCCCCCTCACGAGCTGTCTGTCTCTGTCGAGGAGCCCCAGGTGGTCCTTGATGTGGCAGGTAAGAAGATGGAGTTTTTAAATTGATACGGCAGCCACTTATTCTGTTTTGATTTCTCATGCTGGGCCTCTTTCCTCTAAAAGTTGCACAGTTAACTGGTGTTGACAGACAGTCTTGAGCGCGTTACTTCCCTGGGCCCCTCGCTTGCCGGTTTGAACAGCGTTTGATCTCACGTGCCTTTCTAGTTGTTCCTGAGTGTCCTACCCTACTACTGGGGTGAGACCTTCTGGGCCCCCTTGGGGCTATATTAGGGTTAAGGGTGGGCCTAGGGCAGCCCTTTGTCTTGACCCTGGCTAAGGCAGATCAATGGGAAAAGCAAGGGCCTGCTCGAAGGCTGATCTTCAGCGCTTGCTCTTTTAACCTGCTTGTTAAGTTTGCTTTTTCCAGGTTACAGCAATTCAAGATGATGGTGATGCAGGGATGGCATCCACTGCCTGAAACCAGTCCTGCCGGAAGAACAGCGGAAGTTGCCCTGGGGCCCCGAACAAGGCAAGGTAAGAGCTCCATGGCCCCGATTAGGTCGGGTCTATGAACCCAGTGTCAGCCTGAAGAAGCTACAGAAGATGAACCATTGCCCTTCAGCCTCCCAATAAGATGTTTTTGAGTCCACATCTCTCGGGAGGGATTTGAGGTAGGAGATAGGCCCCCGGGTGAGCAGCTGCAGCTGGTCTCCTGCTGCTTCGAGATGGGATACCAGCGGAGGTATTGGGCCCTGACTGGGCGCGTTCTTGTGGATTTCCCAGCCCAGAACATGCGCAGAAAAGGCCCTCAGTCTAGGGAAAGGGCAAGAGGGAGAAGATGCCCGCTGGAATCCATCTTGGCTGAGAGATTGGTGCCCACACCAGGACCAAATATGGAGATGATTGGTCAGAAAAAAAACCCGGAAAGTTGCCCCTATAAAAGCAACCTAAGCTGCCCCTATTGTGTGCAACCTCTGTTGCTCTGCCACGTGTACTTTGCTTCTAATAAACGCTTTTATCTTTTTCGTAATCTTTGTCTCTTTGCTGAATTCTTTCTTCAAAGAAGACAAGAACGAAGGTCCTTCTTCCAGCCGCTCCACCACCAGAATTAGCTACAGCATCCTTTTGGGGAAATATTATTCTACCGAACCCTGAGCCACAGGTGGGCAGGATGGGGTGTCATAGTCACCGGTGGGCCTTGCCCCAGCCCAGGACAGGTAGGTGCAGAGCGGCCCCTCCATGGTCAGCTCTGCCTGGGGCGACCAGGCTGAGGTCTGCCTTGTCGGGGAGGGGAGAGATGGGGGTCCCACTTTGGGTGACTGAGGAGTTACAGGGACAGGGAGAAAAATGGAGAGGGACAGAGAGTGAGGCACATACAAGAAAGACACAGAGAGAAAAAGAGACACAAGAAGAGATATAAAGAGAGAGATGGAGGGACTTCCCAGGCGGTCCAGTGATTAAGACTCCATGCTTCCAATGCAGGGAGCGTGGGTTCGATCCCTGGTTGGGAACTAAGATCCCACATGCTACGCAGCCCGGCCGAAAAAAAAAAGAGAGAGAGAGAGAGATGGAGACAGCGGGAGATACAGAGAGAGATACAGGTACAGATAAACAAAAAATGGAGAAAGACAAAAGGAGACCAGAGAGATGGACAGAGACAGTGAGGTCAAGATAGAGAAGAGAGATAACAATGGCAGGCAGAGAGAGAAACTTTCAGATGGAGAGACAGAGAGAGAGAGATACAGCAGTAAAGATAACTCCCTCCAGGATAAAGCAGGCTATAAAAAAGGCAGATCAAAGGCACTAAAAAAAAAAAAAAAAAAAGATGCCTCTCTCCCCATCCCTGCCCTTCTCAACCCCACAGAGGGAGGCCTGCAGGGACAAGCTGGTGGAGATGCACCGCCCACACTGACCTCCTTCTAGGCACTCCCACAGCAGCAGCCGGTCCTCCTTCAGCTCTGCCCACCTTCCCTCCTGCTGCTGGCCAAGCCCATTAAGCTGCTACCCTGGCCACAGCTGAAGGCCCCACGCCCTGAGGAGGAAAACACTGAAGAGGCATCCTTGCTCCCTGCACACCAAACCATCAATTAGTATTAACGAGGGAAGGTTCCTCTCTGCCTAAAGACCCCCATCTGGGCTCAGATGGAGGGGAGGTCCCACCCCCATGACTCAGGAGGTTAAAGGGCCTAGATCCGGCCTGTGAGCCCACAGTGTCCGGATGGCGTGTGGCAGAAAGAGAGTCACCATCCAGCTGGTGAACCAGGAGGCAGGGCCTGGAACCAAGGGCCCAAAGCCCTCTCGGGGCCAGAACTACAAAGCAATCCAAGCAGCCTGCCTGGATGAGGGGATCCTGTTCCGAGATCCCTATTTCCCTGCTGGCCCTGATGCCCTACTTCCCTGCTGGCCCTGATGCCCTTGGCTATGACCAGCTGGGGCCCGACTCGGAGAAGGCCAAAGGGGTGGAATGGAAGAGGCCCCATGTAATGTGGGGATGGGGGTTGGGCTCCCAGGTCTGAGGAAGGAGGCTGGGGGCTGGGCTCCTGGTCTGAGGGAGGAGGTGTCACTGTGGGACCAGCTCAGAGCAGGTTCAGCAATCCTGGGTCAGGGGAGGCCCAGGGAAGCCAAACGGCTGCCCACAGGTTTCACAAGCCTCTCATGGGGTTGGAGGCGCTCATTACTCCAGAGCCGCGAGGGCAGGAGGGGGCCTGGGCATCTGACCCCCCAGCTGCTTCTTCCCTCCCCTTCCTGGCTGAGGTCTGGATTCCCCCATCTCCTCCAGGAGTTTTGCGCTAAGCCCCAGTTCATCTGTGAGGACATGAGCGGAACAGACGTGTGTCAGGGGAGTCTGGGTGAGACCACTGAACCCCTGCTGAGCCCCCAGATCTGGCAGGTTTCAGTGGGGACCCCGACAGCTCCGCCCTCAGCCTCCCCCTGCCCTGTCCCTGCCCCTCCCCCTCCCTCTCAGGCTCTCCTCTCCTGGTGCCTCGGTCTCCCTCTTTCCACCCTCCCCCAATCCCAGCCTCTCCTGCCAGGTAACAGCTGGTTTCTTGCAGCCGCTGCCTCCATCACTCTGTACCCACGACTCCTGTCCCAGGTGGTCTCCCCAGGACAGGGCTTCCAAGACGGCTATGCAGGCGTCTTCCACTTCCAGGTAAAGCTCGGTTCCTCTGTTCATGCCTCAGTTTCCCCCAGGGTGACATGGATTTCATAGTTGACACTGTCCCCATGGGGCTGTAATTTTCGGACTGGTACAGCAGGGTCAGGCGTCAGAGGTTGGGGCCCAGCAGGGTTGGAGGTGGGAAGCCGAGCCCAGGCCCCTCCCCTTCTCCCACCAGCTCTGGTAGTTTGGCTGCTGGGTGGACGTCGTGGTGGACGACAGGCTGCCTGTGCGTGAGGGGAAGCTGAGGTTCGTGCGCTCGGATCAGAGGAACGAGTTCTGGGACCCACTCCTGGAAAAGGCCTATGCCAAGTAAGGACCCCGATGCCACCAGGGGCAGCCCCGAGTCCCAGCCAGCAGGCCCCAAGCCACAGGGGACGCCCGGAGCACCCCCGACTTCCGGGATCCTCTAGACACCCCACCAAAGATCTCAAACCAAGGTACAGCCCACAGGGCCCTCATGTCATACCATCGCCTGAGGACCTCCAAATCATAAACACCTCCCTGATTTTTTTTTGGGGGGGGCGTGCCTTGTGGCATGCGGGATCTTAGTTTCCTGACCAGGGATTGAACCCGTGCCCCCTGCATTGGGAGCACAGAGGCTTAACCACTGGACCACCAGGGAAGTCCCCCTCCATTGATATTTCACACAAAATATTCCCAGATACCAACCGAACACTCTTAATTCTGAAGGAGACTGAAATCTCGTATGAGGCCCCGGAGTCACCAAATCTAAGCAGTCCCCTTGGGGGACCTGTAACCTCAGACAATCTCTCCTGATCCCTTGAGAAACCCAAGACACCTCTAAAATATTGGGTGCAATCCTGGGACCCTTAAATCTTCACTTTTCCCTATTCTGCAGCTCTGAAATCCCTGACAAACCCCTTAGGGATCACCCCCCAAAGCAGACATCTCCCACAGACTCAGTGTCAGACACAGACCCCAGGATGCCCAGAATTCTGACAGAGCTCTTCTGTGACCCCCAGATCACGCAGTCCTGGTGGCCCCAAGAGCCACCAGCCAAATTTCTCAGGGCCTACCAAGTGCACCCTCCTTAAGAGTCTGCCAATTTGGGGGATAGCCCTTGGGACCTCACAGCATGAGACAGAGGCCCCCCACATTCCCATGGTTGCCCAAGATACTCGCCCATGACTCAGACACCCCACCCGAGACCTGCTTCCACAGGCTCCATGGCTCCTACGGGGTGATGCGAGGCGGCCACATGAATGAGGCTTTCGTGGACTTCACAGGCGGTGTGGGCGAGGTGCTCTACCTGAGGCAGGACACTCCAGGCCTCTTCTCTACCCTGCGCCATGCCCTGGCCGAGGGGTCCCTCGTGGGAGCCGCTGCCCTGGTGAGAGAGTCAGACTCCCATGAAGACCCCCGCCAGGACCAGAGTGCAGTCACAGCTAGAGAGGGGCGGTGTCCTGTGTCTTTCTCCCCTCTGCTTTCACTGCTGGCTTATTGTCTCTCACAAACCTAATGCCAGCAAGTCAAAAGGACATTTATTTGCTCTCATGACTAATGAAGCTTCAGGCATAGCTGGATCCAGGTGCTTAGTGGCTGTTGTGAATGTGTTTTTCTATTCTTGCTTCTGGGTTAGATTCACTCACAGGCAGGCTTTCCTCTCATGGGCACAAAAGTGGGCCCCACAGCTGCAGGTTCCTCCTACTTCCCCTGGGGGATGTGTGTGTGTGAAAAAAAAAGTGCCTCTTTCTGAGAATTTCAACAAAAGTCTCAGGACTGATTTTTCACGGGCTCAGTTTGGGTCATATGTCCATCTGTGACCCAATCACATATTCATTCACTGAGTCAGTCTAACTCATTCGTTCATTCATTTATTTAATCCTCTACTCAGTTACTGAGTGTCTTTTGCATTTCTCCACCTCTTTTCCTCTCTGTTCTGTATCTTTCTTTGTCCCTATGTCTCTCCTTTTTATTTATTTATATTTTTAGTAAATTTTTTAAAAATAAATTTATTTATTTATTTTTATTTTTGGCTGTGTTGGGTCTTCGTTGCTGCATGCGGGCTTTCTCTAGTTGCGGTGAGCAGAGGCTGCTCTTCATTGTGGTGCGTGGGCTTCTTACTGCGGTGGTTTCTCTTGTTGAGGAGCACGGGCTTCAGTAGTTGGGGCAACGGGCTTAGTTGCTCCGCGGCACGTGGGATCTTCCCAGACCAGGGCTTGAACCCGTGTCCCCTGCGTTGGCAGGCGGATTCTTAACCACTGCGCCACCAGGGAAGTCATATGTCTCTCCTCTTTAAATCTGTTTTGGTCTCTTGTCTCCATCTGCCTCTCTCTCCTTCTCTTGCCTTCACTTGCCAACTCCCAGCCCCTCTCAGAGCCTGGTGCCATTCAGTTAGGTGCTCTGGGTGACTCCTGCTTTGGTGAAAGGAGGTGGGGATGCAGAGGGGAGCTCTGTCCCCTGCTATGGCTCACTGTCCTGTCCTCTTCCCAGAGTGATCGGGGCGAGTACCGTACAGAAGACGGGCTGGTGAAGGGACATGCATATTCAGTCACAGGCACACACAAGGTGAGGAACCCCCAGGGTGGGCTGGCAGGGGGTGTCCAAGCACCAAACCCCCACTGACCACGTCTCCCTTAGGTGTCACGGGGCTTCACCAACGTGCGTCTGCTGCGGCTGCGGAGCCCACAGGGCCGAGTGGAGTGGCCTGGGGCCTGGAGTGATAGGTGGGATGGATCTGGGGTGGGTGGGTGGCTCGGTCTCCCCAGATGCCCATGCTGGGACGTGCTCCCCGCTGAGTGGCGAGATGCCTTGCTGGTGAAAAAGGAGGATGGTGAGTTCTGGTGAGTGGGGCAGGGTCCCCGGTCTGCTTCGGGGAGGGGCGCCAGGCCAGCAGGGTCAGGGAGGGGGCAAGTCCCGCTTGAAGGGACATGGGAGAAGTTCATGGGGGTGGGTCCTAACGGGGAGAAACTGTCCATGTCTGTGGTAATTCGGGAGTTGGGTTCTATTTCGCGGAGTCGAATTAGAATCAGCAGTAACATTAGGGAACTTGGAAGCGTAGTAATCTTTGGAGGGTTGAAGGGGGATGGGTAATATTTAGGGCAGTTGAGGGAGGCTTGGTGACATTGGGGCATTTCTTGAGATTTGGCAATACTGAGGGGCTGAAGGGCACTTACTGGTAATAGAGAATCTGAGGGTCTTGGTATTTGGGGGTTGAAGGCAATTTGACCGTATCTGGGGGGAGTTTGTGGACCTTGGCTATTTGCAGGGCATTTCTGAGGACTTGGAGAAATCTGAGGGAGCTGGAGGGCTCTAATCTGAGGGTCATTTCTGGAGACATGTATTATTTGGGGGACTGAAGTGTACTTGGCGACATTTAAGGAATTTAGGGGCTTTGTGACTTGGGGGGTCATGAGCTATTTGGGGTGGGGGCCGGGCCAGGGTCTGACTGCCGGCCACCGTCCAGGATGGAGCTGCAGGACTTCCTCTGCCACTTCGCCACCATCCAGGTCTGCTCGCTGAGCCCTGAGGTGCTGGTCCGCAGCCCGGCTGGAGGCGGCAGGCACATCCACACCTTCCAAGGCCACTAGGTACGCGGCTTCAACTCTGGCCGGGGCCAGCCTCGTGCCAGTGAGGCCTGGAGGGTCCCCTAAAGGCAAGCAAGGGGGGCCGTGGCAGGCTGGGTAACCCTGTTTCTTTGTCCTTTACTAGAAACCTTCTGGACTCACCCCCAGTTCCGGCTGACGCTGCTGGAGCCTGAGGAGGAGGACGAGGGGTCCTGGGAGGGCTGGGGGGCAGCAGGAGCGCAGGGCCCCCACTGGGGGGCGCACCCCCAAATGCACTGTGCTTCTGTCACCCATCCAGCGCAACCGGCGGCCCCTGAGGGCCCAGGGCCTCACATACCTGACTGTGGGCTTCCACGTGCTCCAGGTGGGACCCCGGGCTGGAAGAGGCAATGGGGGGAACACAGAGGCATGGAGGTGCAGGAGGCCAAAGGGGGGATCTGAGGGGGTAGAGGATGGGGGCCGAGGGTCAGAGTCAGGAGACAGCTGAGGAAATCGGAGGTGGGGGTCAAGGAGACACTGAAGGGCTAGGGAGGGCGCAGAGGGAGAGGCTGGGGGTCAGAAGGGTAGAGGGGTGAGGGGTGAGGGGTCAGAAAGGAGACAGAGAAAGGGCTGGAGGAAAGGCTGAGGATCAGGGAGGGGACCAAGGAGCAGAGGGCACAGATGGGAGGGAGGGGTCCGGAGGGGCTGGGGCAGGGGCTTTAGAAGGGGTGGGATGGGAAGAAAAGAGAGGGAGGGGTGTGGTGGGAGCCGGAGCGGGGGGACTCTGAGGGGTGGCTGCCTCTGCCTGGCCCTGACTCCCCTTGCTCTTCCTTCTTACAGATCCCAGAGGAGGTGGGTATCAGGTAGGACCCCAGATTCCATCCATCTCTGAGCCAGCCCCAGCAGCTGGGACAACCTGGGGGCCTGGGACGCGCTTGGGGTGATGAGTGACCAGTGGGTTTGGACAGGGCGGTGTGGAGGATGCAGTGGGTCGGAGGCTGGGTGGGGTGGACTTGGACGGCGGTGGTCACGCCGCCCTGCCCCCCAGCTGCTGGGACTGTGGGACTCCCCGCGCAGTCGCGCGCTCTTGCGGGGCCGGCTGCGCGCCGACCGCTCGCCCTTCTGTGCCTGCCGCGACGTGAGCCACCGCTGCCGCCTGCGCCCCGGCCACTATCTGGTGGTACCCAGCGCCCGTGCCGCCCGCGCCGCCCGCGCCGCGCGGTCGACTTCACGCTGCGCGCGTTCTCCGAGCGCCGCCACACCGCAGTGTGAGCCGGGATCCCCAGCTCCGCCCCGGGATCCCCTGCCCCGCGCCTGGGTCAGCCCAGCGCCCCCAGGATCCCACCTAGACCCCACCCGAGCCTCAGCTGAGACCCCGCGCGGCCCATATCCCCAGCCGCGGGGTGGGCAGTCCCCTCCCCCAATCTCCCGTCTGTAATTTGCAGGGAGGTAGATGATGTGATCAGCGCCGACCTGCGTGCCCTCATGGTGAGGCGCTGCTCTGGGAAGGGGTGCGAGGGTGTGTGTGTGCTGGGGGGCCAGAACTAAACACCCCCTACCCCACAGGTCCCCTACATTCCCCTGGACCTAGAGATGCAGCAGCTGTTTCAGGAGCTGGCAGGAGAGGTGAGGAGATGGAGCAGGGCTAAGGGGGTCCCTTCCCTCCCCTCCCCTCCCCTCCCCTCGCCATGTACCCCTCCCTCCCTTTCTCCCTCATCCTAGACATCTCATTTTGCTTTGATTTCTCAGTCTGTCTGTGCTTAAATCTCATGAGCTTCTTTTCTCAAAATGCTCACAGCTCTTCCCTGCCTCAGAGCCTTTGCTCAGTCCGTACCCTCCCCCTGGACTGCTTTCTCTCCCTTCACAACCCCTGCCAGGCTAAGGCCTTATCTTTCCAACGTGCCCTGACCCTCCCCCAGGCTGGTCAGCTGCTTGTCCTCTGTGGGCTCCCGCAGCCCAATGCTTCCCCATTGCAGCCCTGACCACTCTGGGGACAGGTCTCACTCCCTTCCAGGACCAGGAGCTCTGAGAGGGCAGGCCTGGGCTTCTCTCAGTCCCTGCTGTGTCCCAGCACCACCCAGCATACTGTCTGGGCGGCCCAGGGCTGTTTGCTGAATGACTGCCCGAGTGCAGGCTCACAACCGGCTCTCTCCTTACGAGGAGGAAGAACTCAGTACCCCTCAGCTCTAGACCTTATTAAGTATTGCCCTGGAGCCTGGTGAGTTGGGGACCAAGAGTGAACTCCAGAGCCCCCATGTGTGTTAATCCACGATGCTTCTGGGAGTCAGGCCATGGGAACCCTGGGCTCAGCCTGCTGGCATCTCCCCTGTAGCCAGACCTGTGGGTTCTGTGATAGGACCCGTGGCCAAGGCCATGGCCACGTATAAGCCCATCTTCCTTTATGGAAGTGTAACTGTCCTGAGCACAGACCCAGAGCCCCGTGCCTGGGTTCAAATCCCAGCTCTACTAGTTTCCAGCAGTCCCATGGCTTTCTGCACCTCAGTTTCAGAAAGGATTATTGAGGATAACAATAATCCCTAGCGCTTATACTAATGGCCAGTACGCAGAAAGTACCTTTTTTTTTTCCTGTAGCCAGGGCCCATGCACGGACTCCCAGAGAAATCGGGCTCAGGACCTGGGAGCAGCTGCTGCAGCGTTTTGGGGTATATGATGGGGGCATTGCCTGGGTAGGGAGGATGGCCTCCTCTTCCCTTTTGGGGACATTGACCTTAACCAGATGCCGCATCCCCAGCATGGGCGAAGCCTCGACCTGTACCACTTCCAGCAGCTCTGGGGCCACCTCCTGGAGTGGCAGGTAAGATGGGGGCTGGGCAGGGCACCTCCTTCTGGAGGGAGAGGCACCTTTACTAACATGGGCATAGGTGCTCTGTGGGCTAGCAGGGCCCCAGGGGAGAAGGGGAACTTGACCACACCACACCAACCTGGAGGCATCTGGCTGGGATATCCCTGCCCCATACACCCCTTTGTTGTCCCTCTACTTGTCTGTCACTGGGAGGCGATAATTCCCCGCCCTGCCCCTGCTCTGGATCCCTGTGAGGAGATGGTCCCAGGTCTCCCCACACTGCAAGTGGTAAGCCACTGTTCACTGAGCCCTCCCTAAGCCCTTTGTGATGAGAATATCACCTTGTCCTCACAACACCCTTGTTACTGCTGGTACCGTTATTCCCAATTTACCGAATGGGAAACAGACGCCCAAAGTGGTTAAGCTGCTTGCACAGGGCAGCCAGGAAGAAAGGGAGGTGGGTGGGAACTCAGGCTCTCTGGCTCCAAGACCCACTTCCAGCCTCCTTCAGGGTGCCTAGGGGCCTGGGGGTGGGACTGACCAATACCTCCCTGCCCAGGCCACATTTGACAAGTTCGATGAGGACGCCTCCGGAACCATGAACTCCTATGAACTGAGGCTGGCCCTGAACGCAGTGGGTATGGACAGAGGTCCTGCGGGATCCTGGGGACAGATCTGCTCCCCCTCCTCCCCCGCCATCCACAAAGCCCACACCTCAGTTGCCCACTCTTGGCAGGAAATGGGTGACCCTGAGAGAGGCCCAAAGGGGAGAATCCTCTGTGTGGGGGGAGGAGGGCACTGAGGGAGGGAGTGCGGCCCTCCTGGGAGGGGAAGGGGGGCATGGGCGCTGGTGTCTGAGAGGCCCCAGCTCCCAGGACCTCATGGTAGAATGTCCTGGACTCCTGGACTCCTTGGGTGGCCCTGGGTGTCTGGAGCCTCCATTTCCCTCTCTGTAAAATGGCTAATACACAGGGTGGCCAGGAGGAGCCTGTGGAATGGAGCCCACAGGGTTTAGTGCTGGGGAATGCAGCTTCCATGACAACATGCCAGAGTACCCAGAGGAAGGCTCCCACTGAAAGGCTGAGTTCTTCCAGGAGACGTAGAACAGCCCCATTCCATTCGTGTGGGAGCCCAAAAATCCTAGCCAATGAACAGAGGCAGAGAGCAACTTTTTCCCTGGGCTATACAGTTGGAAAAGTGCATGTGATCTGTCCCCCACTCCACCTTGCATGGACGGGGTGTGGTCTGGGATCAGACACAGAACTCCCAGACCCCCACCCCACCGCAGGGCTCATCTGCCACAGCAAAGGGAAGGGTGAGACATGGGGAGATGGGGGGCTGGGGGTGATGTGACCCAGAGTCTGAGAGGCAGGGGGAGACCCTGAGGGGGGAAGTCAAAGGTGCAGGGAGGTGCAGGAAAAGGGAACTCAAGACAGGGGGGAGATGGAGTCAGAGAGAAGATTGGGAGATGTGAGTTTGAGAAACAAGAGTCCCAGGTAGGCAGAAGCAGAGGCGAGAGAGGGTGGCGGAAGGCGGAAGGCTGTACTGTTCACGCCGTATGCCCGAGTGCCTGGTACAAGCCTGGTGTTAGCCTAGGCAGAGGAGCGCTCTAAGGGGCTGACGTGCTGATGGTGCAGACACAGAACAAGCAGAACGTCTAGCGCAGATGGTGAGAAGTCCTACAGTGGCAAAAGGAAACAGGCCATGGTGCTGGGACCCGCAGAGCGTGAGGTGTGGGTTGAGACATGGCGGTCAGGGAAGGCCTCACTTGGGTGATGTGTGAGCAGAGACCGGAAGGAGTGAGCCTTGGGGACTCTGGGGAAGAGCGGTCCAGATGGGGAAAGTCAGTGTAAAGGCCCTGAGGAGGCTGGTGTGGAGGCAGCGGAGTGAACGAGGGGCCCAGTGATGGAGATGACAGGGGGCCAGTGTGGCTGGAGCCAAGTGGGGAGGGGGAGGTGGTCAGAGAGGAGATCGGTGGAGGAAGACAGGAGAGCCCCACGAGGCCTTGGGAGGACAGCTCTTTAAAAATTCTTAAATATGTATGAGAGGGAGGAGGGAGAGGCAAGTCCAGGGTCAGGGACTTGTGTGTGAGCCTGGAGCTGACAGGCAAGGGAAAGGTGGTGTGTATGGTGGAGGGAATACCAGGGAGCGGGCCAGCTGGGAGCAAGGTCCGGAGACCTAGGCAATCCTGGGCTGGGGGGACAGACAGGAGAAAGAACCTGCTCCGATCCAATCCTATCCTCTGCTCCACAAGCACCCCCTGAGCCCCGCTCTGCTCCAGGCCCTGTGCTGGCTGGTGCTGGGGATTCAGTGGTGACCAGAAGCCCTTCCTGGACCTCACCCACCACTCACTCCCCTGCCCAGTGCAGGCGCAGCCAGACCCACCAAAGACAGTGACAGCCCAGAGGGCTCAGGGCAGGGACGTGGAGGCCCAGAGGGCTCAGGGCAGGGATGTGGGGGCCCAGAGGGCTCAGGGCAGGGACATGAGCTGTGGGACCCCAGAGGAGGGGCTTCATGCTGCTTGCTGGGGGCTGAGTATCTGAGAGGACTTCCTGGAGGAGGCATGTATCAGAGTAGGAACACTCCGGGCTGAGAGAGGACGTGGTGTTCTGGGCAGAGGGAACATCAAGTGCAAAGAAGGCAAGGCAAAGCCCAAGGTCAAGTAGAGGAGAGGGAGGTGGGGAACAGGAGATGAGGTGCAGCCTGTGCAGGCCACCAGGCAGCTGGGGACAACAGGGGCCCTGGGGAGGGGTAACCAGGAGGTCATGGTCACTAGGGCCCAGTAACCGAGGTAAGGGCTTTCACAAGGACTGGCTTTTAAAAGCCTCTGTGGGACAATTCCTCATCGGAGGTGATTTCTGAACTCCAGAAATCGCCCCTGGTCTGGAACATCAGGAAATTGACATCATACGGGGCTGACAAAAATGCTTTGCTGCACAGAAATATCCTCTAGTGTCTATTGGCAGAAATCCTGCAGAGTTTAAAGGAATAATAATACAGTAGTTATGATGGGCCAGACACTGCCCTAAGCTCTTTACATATAACATCTTCACACGACCTTACAGGGTCAGGGCTATCATAGTCCCCATTTGACAGATAAGGAAACTGAAGCCCAGAGAAGTGAAGGGAGCTGCCCGTGGCCTCACGGCTGGGATGAGGCAGAGCTGGGACTAGAGAGGTGGGACCAGGCCCCCCTGGTGTCTGCCTTCCCTGGGGAGTCGGAGGGGGGGTATGACCCTGAGGTGGGGCTCCCGGGGCAGCCCAGGCTCAGAGGCGGCCTCCCCCGGGCTTCCACCTGAACAACCAGCTGACCCAGGCCCTCACTAGCTGCTACCGGGACAGCCATCTGCGCGTGGACTTCAAGCACTTGGCGTCCTGCGTGGCCCAGCTCATCTGCCTCTTCCGTGAGTGTCATCCCTGGCACTGGTGGGACAGAGGGAGGATGTCTCCATGGTAGGTGGACCAGGGAGGTGGGTGCGCACCCTGCCCCTCTCTGACAGGCCACTGCAGCCAGCACCTGGATGGGGGCGAGGGGGTCGTCTGCCTGACCCACAGACAGGTGAGCCTGGGCTGCAGGGAGGGGTGGCACGGGAGTGTCAGGAGTCCCCTGCCTCATGCCTGCTGTTTCCTCTCGCTCAGTGGATGGAGGTGGCCATCTTCTAGGACCTCAGCCTGGGAGCCCTGCCTTTCCCTTCTCCCAGCCAGGACCAGGGTTTCCTCTACAGGAAGGGGGCTGATGCCCTGATGTTAAGCAGTGATTCAGAACATGGCCTTGGGAGCCAGCCTGCCTGGAGCTGACTTCCGGCCCCCCCACTCACCAGCTGGGTGACACTGGGCAAGTCACTGCACCTCTCTGGTAAACGGGCATGGTAACAGCACCTTTCTCATGCAGGCTGCACGAGTTAGCCCACGTTACACGCTTACAACAATGCGTCACCTGGAGTGGGTCCCCAACAGCACTCCTACTTTCACACACTCATGGGAACAGGGATCGGGGCACTCCCACACCCCACCTCACTCTGGCAAGAGGTGCTCTATCATCGCTCTCCTAAGAAGTGGAGAACAGATAGAAAAACAGAGGACACTGTAGGAATCCTTCTTAAAAATATTACATGTTTTATTATCCTGTCCCCAGAAGGGTGGTTTATCCAGAAACCGAGAAAAAAAATAATCAATCGGAATAAACTCAAAAAAAAGGGGGGGGGGAGGTGGTGGAGTGAAACCATCCACTAACAGGCAGCTAGGCCAGCAGCCCACCCTTCGCCTCGGGGGGGGGGGGGGTCCCCAGAGACCTACACCGATGGCAGACATCAGAGAAATCAGTAAGGGGCTGGGGGAGGGGAGCAAATCAGCTATGTCTTCATTATGAGAGCAAGAGGCGGCGAAGATATGCTGCTAGGTGAATATATATTTATATAATAAATCCGTAAGTTAATAAAGTAAATAGTAATTCTCTGAAAGTTTTTTTTCATAGTTTTTTTTTTTTGTGGATTTTTGTGTGTTTTTTTTGTGTGTGTGTTTTTTTTCTTTTTTTCTTTTTTTGCCGGTGGAGGGGGTCCTTAGAAAATCTGAGAGATACGCAGGTCCAGACAAAGCAAGGTGGGGGCTGGCTGGGGGTGAGGGTGGGAGGCTGGTCTGCCCAACCCCACTCCTGGTGCAGAAGAGGGGGGACTGAGCTGAACCCCCTCATCTCCTGGCGATGCCAAGTGAGGGGAGGGGACAAGGGAGCAGGGAGCAGGCTGGTCCTCTTTCCTGCCGGGCAGCTGTGGCACCCTCTACGGGGCCCATCGCAGGCCCGGGCGGTTCCTGGACAAGGCACGTCGGGCTTTGGCCTGGATGTGGGAGGCCTTGAAGGGACCTCAGGGGAGAAGAAATGGACCAGGGGGGTGGTGAGGGGTGGGCGTTTCTAGGGCTTGGAGGGGGCCTGTTTTACTGTGAGGATCCACTGTCCCCTCCACAGAGTTAAAAAAACAAAACAAAACAACACATCATATATATTTACCAGACCAGAAGCGCTGACCCCGGAAGCCTCCCACACCCCCGTCCAGGGGGAGGGGGAGATCCTCCTGGCCCACTGACAAAGAGAGAGGAGAGAGCCTGCCCCAGCCCCTCCCTGCCCACCCCACTCCCGCCCAGAAAGGACTGACAGAGAGTGCTTTGCATAGATACAGAGTCAGAGGAGCGGGGCCAGGGGGTGCCCTTGCAGTGGGGGGGGGGGGGGGGGGGGGCAGAAAAGCTCCCCCAGCCCCTCCTGGAGGCTGTGAGGAGGGGTGTTTGGTCAGGGTTTCTCTGGTGGGGGCCTCACAGGTCGCTCTCGCCGTACAGGGCTGTGGAGAAGGACTTGTAGTCGAGGGCCCCGGGCACAGCATCAGGGCCCTGGTATGGGGCCATGCGGGCGATGCAGTACTCGGCCTGGTCGGGGGGCAGCTCTCTCCGCAGCTCCTCGGCTGTGATGAAGTTCTGGGGGCGGCAGGGCGGGAATCTGGGTCACGCCCAGCCCTGGCCGCAAGGGCCCCTCCCCGCCGGCTGCTGGGTGCCTCCCAGGTGTCTTGCTCACCTTGTCCCCGGCCAGGACCTTGAAGGAGGCGATGACCTGGTCGGCCGTGTCTGTGTCGGTGGTCTCCCTCGACATGAAGTCGATGAAGGCTTGGAAGGTCACGAGGCCGCTGTGGTTGGGGTCAACCACGCTCATGATGCGGTTGAACTCGGCATCGCCCTGCGAGGGGGGTGGGCGGGGGACAGGTGGCCTTTAGCGGGGCAGGGCGGCCGGGCCGGCCCGGTGGCTAGAACCGGGTCAGGAGAGCAGGGCCCGACCCCAGCGCTCACGACAGGCGTCGTCAGCCCGCCTCCAAGGGTCTTGGCTCCCCGGCCGACTGCCCCACCTGCCCCAGACCTGGGACGTGCACCCTCTGCTCCTCCCGTCCCGCGTTTCTGGGAAGTGGGGAGTTGGGGAGTGGATCTAGCAGGCCTACTGCTCCTCAGCCCTGGCTGGAAAGTTAGCTCCGGAGGGCGAGGAAGAAAGAAAGAAAGAAAGAGAGAGAGAAGGGGAGAGAGCTGGAGGCCTGACCTCCTCTCTCCGGAGACTTCCAGGAAAGGAGGCGGGAGGCTCAGGGAGTCATCGGAGGGACCCCAACCAGCAGATGCAGCAGAGGAGGAGGAGGGAGGCCAGGCCATGCTGCTCTGGTGGAGGAGTGTCCCCGAGGACGCGGACATTCTGGAGGCGGTGAGGAGGGACGGAGGAGGGGGAGGGACGGAGGAGGGGGAGGGACGGAGGAGGGGGAGGAGAAGAGGCACAGCAGCAAGGGCAGGCAGAGGCGGCATACCAGGCTGTATCCCGTGGAGATAAGCAGAGCCCTGAAGTCATCGGAGTCCATGCTGCCCGTCTGCTTCTGCTCGAGGACGCAGGGACAGCAGAGGAGACCGGGCCCAGAGTAGGCAAGAGGGGCCGCCCCGTGTGCACAGCGGGGAAACAGGACAGTGGCAGGGAGCGGGGGAGACAGAGGCGGCCCCGAGAGACCAGGTAAGGGGGAAGGTGTCCGGAGAGACACAGGGCAGGGAGGCGGCAAGAGAGCCCGTGAAATGGCACACATGATGGCAAGGGGTGGGATGGCCAGAGGGAGGGGAGACAGAGAGAAGGAGAGAGAGAAAGAGAAGAGCAGTTAATGCCACAGTCCGCTGGGGCCCAGGGGGCGCGTACCTGCCGGTCATTCTCCACGTCGTAGCCCAGGCTGATGAGGCAGGCCTTGAACTCCTCTGGCCCCAGCGCCCCGCCGTGGTCCTGCCGGCGTCCGAAGGCAGGTGTGCACAAGGGGCGGTGTGGAGACCAGGCCGGCACCAAGGCAGGGAGAGGGGCCCGGGTCACATGCAGAGGGTGGGGGAAGGGGACACATGGGGGAGGGAAACACAGTTAGAGGTGACGTGGACAAGGTGATGGCCAGGGCGGGGCAGGTGGAGGGGCGTGGGTGGCCTGGAGGGCAGTCAGAGGCCGCCTCCCAGCTCCTCTGGGCCAGAGCAGGGGTGGGAGCTGAGAGGTGCAGGATTGAGGCTTGAGTCCCAGGACTCCTGGGAGGGAAGCGGGGAGCTCTCCTCACCTCCAGGATTTGGGGTAGGAGAAAGGGGATTGCACCCCCTCCTGCTGGGCCCCTGCCTAACGCCCAGAGCACATGCTACCCACAGAGAGCAGGCAGATGACACATCAGCCCGGCAGTGCCCGGGGCAAACTGGTGCTCAGGGCCCCTCTAAAGGGGCTGCCAAACCAAACCTGACTTTTAAGGACACTGTGTGTATGTGTGGATCAGATTCCTGGGTCAGGCCTCAAATCCCTGGTGTGCTGGGACCTGTCTGTTCAGGGTTGCATCGGCAGGTGGGCGAGGATGCACAGCCCCGGGGGCAGGGCTTGGGACTCCCCTTTCTCTTCCTGAGGGACGCTGCCCACGCTGTGGGTCGAGGTGATGCACCTCTGCACCCCCTTCAGTGGCTGGGGCCCTGCCGGCCCCTGTGAGTGGCCTCTGATACTCAGCAACTGTGATGTGAACAAACGGACAGATGCAAAGACGCAGGGGGCAGGGTGGGAGGTGACAGTGGGGAGGGACGACAGCAAGGGGCAGAGGGAGTGGCTCACCTTGTCGAAGTGATTGAAGGACGCCCGGAACTCCTGCATCTGCTCTTGGCTGATGCCTTTGGCATCGCGGGTGAGGATCTGGTTCTCGACCTCGTTGATGGTGCGGGCGATAGTGGTGAGCAGCTGCTCCCAGCCCACGCGGATGTGCTGCGGGAGGAATGAGGGCGTGAGTGTGGGCTGGCCGGCAGGTGGAGATGCTGGGACCACCGCCGCTGTAGCTGAGGGGGGCTCGGGACTGGCTGTTCCTTGTGCGGGGGTGTGTGTGGCCTGGAGTCAGACTCACCCCAACTTTCTCCCAAATGCCAACCCAGCCCCACACTCTGCCATGCGGCTCATGTACACAGGGCCACAGGCACGGTGCCCGCCTACTGCTTCTGCCAACCAGCGGGGTTCACGTCACACCGGTGTACGTCCCAGTGATGGATGCAGCAGACAAGCGGGTCCTGATACCTGTGCCAGGATCCACAGGGACGCTTTGCAGAGACATGCTGGGCAATGTGTAACTAGCTTTCTGGGGAAACAGCCCTTCCCCCCTTTTATTTGGTGGCATCTTCCGATCTGCATGGTCTAAGTGCTGTCACCACGGACCATTTCAAGCCACCAATATGATGGCAACCAGCCCTGATGCTGTAACCTGGCGGCAGCGAGCCGGTGCACGGGATTCCCGCACATGCTGGCTGGATCTGCGTCCTCGAGTGAGGATGAAATATCTGAGGTCACACTGCGGGGCAGGTGCTGCCTGCCCTCCCAGCTCTCCAGGGAGTTTGTCTTGAGATGTGTGTTGTCATGGTGATGGGAGAGCAGTGGTAGAGAAACTGTGATTTTTAGAGACGTGTAAACGTTGGATCTAGTCTTTTTGGTCAGAGAGAAAGGGGAGACAGAGCAAGCAGGAGACACTTTTCCACAGGGCAAAAGCCATTTGGAATAAGACAGCCGGGCCCTGCCTGGGCTGCCACAGGAAACCCGCAAGCGTGTGCAAGGGCAAGCAGTGGGGGCGGGGCAGGCTTGCCTCCATGGTGTAGTTGGTGTGCTTGTTGTCGAAGATGAGGGCCTCCTGGATGAGCTGGTGCTGCTGCTCCAGCAGGTCCAGGTTCGGCTTGTAGTCCACAATGCTGCGCTCATACTGTTTCAGGTGGCTCAGCTGGTCCTCCAGAGTCCCATTCATCTCGATGGAGATGCGCCCGATCTCCTGCACAGAGGGTGGTGCTACTGGGGGGGGGGGGGGACTGGCGGACCCTCGGCCACGACCAGCCACCAGGAGGCGGTCTGTTGCGGGCCGCCCCAATGCCAGGGCGCCTCCAGCCCGGGGCCTCTGCCCAGGTGTCCCCTCCGGGAAGGCCTACTGCTTACTGTCCCCTCCGGCCCACCCTCCAGTGTAACAGCAGCCACGAGGCGGTTTCTGCACCAACGCTCCACAGGGCTAACCTCGCTGCTCCCCGCTTGACTCCCTGTGAGGCCCAAGACTGGGACAGGCCTATTCCACAGAGGTGGAAAATGAGGCCCAAAGAGGGCAACTTATGACATTAAGAGGCAGAGCCAGGATCGGAACCCAGGCCTGGTGACTTCAGAACCCGTGCTCCTGAGCACGAGCACCCCACGCCTCGCTTCCCAGGGTGACCAAGCCGTGCAGGGGGCACTGAGCCCCGCGGCCGACCTGCCCGATCCTCTCTCGGGCTGTCGTGAGTTTCAGTGAGGCCACTTCGGTCAGTGGGGTGCCTAGTGCACAGTGAGCACTCGTAAGTGGCGGCCTGAGTCGCAGTCGGCATGGTTACAAGCTTCCCGTGGCTGGGTCATGAGGGCAGAGTGGGGGCGCGGGGAGGGTCTGAGCTCGGACCACCTTGGTCACAGCTACACCACAGTGCTTGTGATGCGGCTGGCATAGGGCGGTGCCCAAAAGTGTCTATTGAGGGAATGAAGTAATGGTCTTCCTCATCCTTTTAGGGGTGAGAAAACTGAGCCACAGAGGTTAAATTGTGCCTGACTCCCGACCGGAAGTCGAGGGGAGAGTCGAGACTCGAACCCGTCTCTACCTGACCCCTCAGCACGGCTTCTCTCTGGATGGTGCTGCCTTTTCCATGAATACGTTATTGACGCTCCTAATCCCGTGAGGCCACGAGAGCTGGGTTCCAGATCCACCAGGCCCCCAAGTCCACCGGCCCCGTGGAGCACTGGGGCCCTCCCACCAGGGGCAAGCAGCCTCCCATTCAGTGGGGGCTCTTCCTCAACTCTGCCCTGAGACTCTCCTGGGCCCAGCAGGGCTGGGGCGACTCGCCCTCACCTCCATCTTAGTCTGGATCCAGGGCCCCACGATGTTGGCCTGGCTGGCGAACTGGCGGCGGAGGTGCTCGTTGGACTGCTGCTTGCTCTGCTCCTCCAGGAGGGCGTGGTCCCGCTTGGGCACCAGCTGCTGCACCTGGGGAAGGGGACGCGGGCAGGAGCAGTCAGGGGGGTGGCCGCCTTGCCTGGCTGGTCCTGCCCCGGCCCTGCCGGTGGGTGGGTGCTGCCCACCTTCTCCCACTTGGAGTTGATGATCTGGGGGGTGACGGTGGTGTAGGGGTTGCTGCCTGACAGCTTGATGTGGTTGCTCTCGGCGATCCTCTGGGCCTCCTTGTGGATGGCCAGGATGGCCTCCCGTTCCCTGTCGGCGTCTGGCAGTGTCGACTTGAACTGGTCGTGGGCTGAGATCAGGCCCTGGGGGCAGGAAGAGAAGGGATGAGGGTGCGGCCCGGACCCGTGGAGGCCCCACGAGCCACGAGAAGGGCGGGAGGGGAAGGGGCGGACCTCGATTTCCTCGATGGTGTGGACGATGAACATGTCCTGGAGGTCCTCCATGGCGCTCTCCATCCAGTTGTTGAAGGGGGCTGCCCGCTTGGCGTACTCCAGGTGCAGCTGGTCAATGGTCTCCAGCTGCTTCTCCGTTTTCTGGTGCGTGTTGGGAGGGACGGGGACAGAGGAGGGAGGTCAGTAGGCTAGCAGGAGGTGTGTATGGTGGAGAGGGGTCCGGGGGCACCAAGGGGTCAGGGGAAGACCCCTGCTCTGAGGGCAACGAGGCACAGACCTCAGTGGGGGGCATCGCTCCCTCCTCACCTCCAGGGCTTCCCTGCGACTGTGGGTCAGAGAGCCAAGGGCATCCCACTGGTCGCAGATCTTCTGGCAGCGGGTGTTGACGTTGTGGGAGTCGTAGTAATCCAGCTCGCTGTGGGCCGGGCAGAGGGTGATGAGATCCAGCAGGGGCAGTCAGGGTGTGCTGGACCCACCCGCCCCCAGGTGTCCCAGGCCCTGGTACCAGGGGATATCGACACTTAAGCACATCAGTCATCAATCACCCCTCTGGCCCGGGGCAGGAGGAATTGCGGGGAGAGGATAACAGAGCTTGCTGTCACTGTAAGCTGACGCAGGGCTCCCAGAGTGTGGCCCTCGACCATCCCTGTAGGCTGGTGAAATCTCAGTTGCCCGACCAGGGGTCGAACCCAGACCCCCAGCAGTGGAAGCACAGAGTCCTGACTACTGGACCACCAGGGAAGTGCCCTGGATAATTTTCCATTTAAAGGAAGTCTAGCAGGACACACTGGTTAGAGAATAAGGCTCTGGAGCCAAGTTCCCTAGGTGTGAATTCCAGCTCTCCGATTTTGAACTTGTGTGACCCTGGGCGAATGAACTCCCTCTGGATCCCTCGGTTTTCTCCTCTCTGAAATGGGGGTGGGGTTATCATGGAGACCAGGTTACTTAGCTCGTGTGAACTGCCGAGAGCAGTCCTTTGCACCCAGTAGGTAAAAGTAGCAACAGTTCCTCATTAAAGGTTGTGTATTTACTTTAATGGGTATTAAGGAAAAAATGTACAATTAGCCTACAATCTCACTGTACGCAACTAACGATATATTCAAGAAAAAAAAAAGTGAGCTGATTAGGGAATGGGTATTATTACTGCAATGACTGAGGTTGGAAACACTAAGCTGATACCATAGTTCCCAGCCCCCTGCCCCTTATTCCCTCTCTTCAGCCCCAGCATTCCTGCCTCCTGGGGTCCACACTTGGATACTCTTAGCAGCAGGCTCCTAGGGAGTCAGTGTACAGGTCTGGGGGAACAACTATGGGGAGGAACACGACACGGGAACCAGGACACAGGGATTGTGTCGCCTGCCTGGTGAGCCAGACGGGCAGGCAGGATACAGGGGCCGGGGGAGCAGGCAAGGGCTGGAGGAGGAGCAAGGCTGTGCTTCACACGGGGACCAGGCGGCCCAGGTTCCAGTCCTATCTCACTCCCTAGCTGTGTGACCTTGGGCAGGCCCCTTGGCCTCTCTGTGCCTCAGTTCCCATTCTGTGACACAGGATTGCTGGGGGATTAAATGAGCTGGTACACGTAGAGCACTAAGTGCCCTGAGTTTTCGTCATTACCATTAATCTACGCTCAGCCGGGCTGTCTATCCAGGCTCATCCTGGCCGGCCCTGGGCCCTCAGACTCATCTTCGGGGGAACAGACAGCACCCCAAACAGCCCTCCCTTTCTCCTCCAGGGCTACTGTCCAGAAAGCTGCCTCGGGACCGCCTGTTCCCCGGCTCAGGGTAATGGGTTTCACATGGCTGTTCCCAGTGCCTGAGAAGTGGGCTGGCCTAGGAGCTCCTCCAAGTCTGTTTTTCACTGGCTTCCAGGAGCTCGCCTGTCAATGGGGGGGGGGGGGGGGGGGGGGGACCTGCCTATGTCCCACCCCACAACCCCTGAGGGTGGTGGACATCTGCGTCTGTGACCTCACTCTCCTCGGCCTGGGCATGCCAGGTACAGGGGCTCGATCCTAGGGGAGCTGCAGGACTTCAAGGGGTGCCCCCAACAGTGCTCAATGGGGACACCGTGTCCCCGGTACTGTGAAGACCCAGTGGTACTTCTGCCTCTGGGTGAGCAAATGGGGAGCCCCCAGAGCAGCTGGGCAGTGTGGCGGGCGTGAGTCAGGAAGGAAGCCAGCCCTGCCCGGTGTGGGGCTCCACTGGGCATCAGCGCTAGGCCCCAGCCTTGCAGGAACAAGAACTTTGGGGATGACTGTGACAGGGTAGGGGGTGTCTGTGGAAAGGGCAGTTCCAGCCAAGGATCCTATTTTGGAGCAGACGGCTATTCTGGGAGCCCGGCCGCCCTCCAGGGCCTGTGGATTTTCCATGAAGTCATGGCCTGGGCCTCCCACTCCCTGGGCCCTGCTTGCTGATGGCCGCTGCGCTGGTGGAATAAGGCCCCTTTCACTGGCTCTGGAGGTTCAGTGTACTAATTGTGTGCACAAGTTTATCTGACTGGGGTAGGGAAGGGAGGGCAGAGAACCGACTGCCTGGAAGCTCTTACAATAAGTGTATTCTGAGCAGGAGAGGGAAGGGGCCGGGCAAAACAATGGGCTCTCTGTGCAGCCAGATTCCCTCAGGGAGCAGGGGGTGGGAGCAGTGTGGGCTAGGCCGCCCACCACATCAGGGGGCCAGGGGGTCTCCTTGGTGTGGCAGGCAGAGGAGGGGGAGCCCCAGGGACCCCAACAGCCTGAGGAATCAGGACAAGGGGTCAGAGACCCCCCTTCTGCTGGAGAATCTAGATCCCACTGTTTCTCATCTGGGGTAAAGACAAGGTGGGCAAAAGGCATCATCCTGTAAGGCTCTTCCCTGGCATCTGAAAGGAGGGTGTGAGGGTGGAAAGGGCTGGGGGACGGCATTCCACCACTGCCCCACCACTGCTCTGGACTGGGTGCTGGAGGGGAAGCAGGTGACGGGGAACCACGAGCCCACACGTACTTGAGCTCCTGGGCGATGGCGGCGATCTGCTCCACGCGGTCCTGGTGCGCGGCCAGGTCGCTCTCGAAGGCCTCGTGCTTGCGGATGAGGGCTTTGATGTCCGACAGGGTGGCCGTCTCATAGTCCCGGTGCTTCAGCATCACCTCCTTCCCTGGGGGGGGGGGGGGGCGGAGGGCAAGGGGTGCTTCGTCAACAGCGCCAGAGGGAGGGAGACGGGGTGTGGACCCCACGCCCTGCCTTGCCGAGGATGGTGCCGTGAAAGCTAGAAACCTCCAGAGCCTTTTTCCTTGCCCTTTGCAGGAATCTCTATGCCCAACTAGATCCTGGATGGAGCTGGGAGACACTGTGGGGCTGGTGGGCCTGAGACATATCCCAATTCAAGCTGTGGGTTCTAAACTTAGTATCCTTTATTGGTAGACGGTAAGAATTTGGATTGTGCTACCAGGGCTGGAAATGTGGACACCTACCTGCGGACCGCTGTGGTCTGGAGAAGCAGCTGGCGTTGCAGCCGTGCCTCAGCAGTGGGGGGAAGGGGAAGTCTGAGTCAGGGCTCTCCCAGGAGCCTGACCCCTGGCACTTGGGCGCCAGGCCCCCTCGGTGTGGGAGTCCTATCACACACCTATTGCTCCACACTATCCTAAGGGCTTTCCATGTGCAGCGAGGCAGGGCCCATTGTCGGGCCCTTTGAAGGAAGGGAGGAACACTGCTATCAGTCCTGGAGCCTTGCTAATTATACACCCCAGGACAGAAGCTCAAGTGAGCCCTGCAAGCACAGTAAGGTACTGCTAAGAACCAAGGGGGAAACGCTGGCCGGGAAAGGTGGCTGGGAACCCCAACCCCTAAAGCTACCTCCGGCTACCCCGGAGCGGCAGCTCAGAGACCCCCTCAGCTGGCACCAGGAAATCCAACCAACAGCTGCCTGCCTAGAGCAGGGGATGGCAGACAGCTTCTCCCCACCTGTTCTTCCCCTGTAAATGTGGCCAGTGCCAGCCCAAGGTTAAAACCTCAATGAGGGGATGTTGAGAAGGCCGGGCACCAGCCAGTTCCATCTGCATCTCAGCCACCCCATGGACAGGGCCTGGCACTGGCGGACAGGAGGTGTCAGCCTGGGAGACCGAGTGCACTGGCCCTGCCACTCCAGCCCCGGGGCAGCAGGCTCAACCACAAAGGCAAGCTTGCAATTCCCTTCTCCAAATTGCTTTCTCCCAAGGGTGGGAACCAGAAATAGTAGGTTACCACTTTTCTGCCTCAGCAGAGTTTCAGCAAGGGAGCTGCCAGGGGTGTGCTGGGAAGAATCGGGAGGAGGGGGCCACAGCCACGGCTGCCTGGGACCCAGGCCAAGGGGCAGCCAGGCTGAGGGGGGGGATGGGGGCTCATTTTTGCTTTTCCCCCAGACAATCTGAGACCCTGTGAGAAGCACCCACATGGGTGCTCACTCCTGCAGGCTGTAGGGATGGTGAGGGGGCACAGTGATGGTGGCTCAGCCCGTCCTCTGCCCCCCAACCCCACAGGTGAGGAGGCTGCTACACCCGGCTTCCAGGGGGGTAGAGGGGTCGGGAGGCTGGTCTGTCCTCCTGTTCTGCATAATTGGGTGGTTCAGAGGACAGAGGCTTCAGGCCTTGGGAATGAGAGTGGACAGGCCTGCCTGGGCACTCCGGGCTAATGCAAGGGGCAGGGCCAGATGCCAAAGTGCCTGTGGGGAGGTTGGGGTGGGGCAGGGGCGTGTGGAGTTGGGCCCTGGCTAAAGACTGGGCCACTTCTCCTAAATGCCTTCGGGTGAAGGCCGGCCAAAGTGGTTCCCAGGGAAGGAGCTCTGGTGGGCCGTCACACCCACACCCCTCGGCCTCAGGAGACCATCTTCTCAGGGCCTCCTGGAGCCCCAGGAGAGAGGCTGGAGGGCTGATAAGAGGCCCCCAGAAGGGAAATCCACAGGGAGGACACAGGAGCCTAAGAAAGGATGATGGGGCTACAACACGTGGATAATGACAGGAGGCAGCTCAGTCCAAGCGTGGGACCGGGTGCTGTAAAATCCACTTACATGTCCAAGGGCCCCTTGACAAGAAAGATGTCAAAATCTGCAGTTCCCTGGGCAGGGACCTCACCTACCTGGAAACTGCTGAGCACAGCGAAGAGGCTCAAGAGGTGTTTGTTGAATGAATGAATGAAGAACAAACGAATAAACTAAATGCCAACACCCCCTCCCTCAGGTTTGCGGGGGCAGAGCCCACAGGCGCCATTTCTGTGGGGCAGAGGGAGGTGCCTGCGTCCCTGGCCCAGGCTACCCTGTCCTCGCCTCGCCTTCTGGCTTCCCCTCCTCTGCATTCCTTCCCTGGCAGAGGAGGGGTCAGGGTATTGCTCTGCATCTGGAAGCTGCCGCTGGAGAGCAGCTGGCCTGAGCTAATGTGAGGAGGGCATTAGCCAGGCTGCGGCTGGGGACACAGGTGACACAGGCCCAGGTCTGCGGACCCTGCAGAGCTGCGTATCCGCGTGCCGGCAAGGGTGGGGCAGGCTCCGTATGGGTGCCTCTGGGTGGGTCTCAGCGACTGACCAGGGTTGCGGCAGCCTGCCCAATAGCTGGGTGGGTGGGGCCAGAGGAGCCCCCAGGGGCTCAGTGAGGATCTCATGGGGACCTGGGAGGCTGGGAGGGATGAAAAACTGCACTGACCAATGCAAGGAAGTGTGAGACCAGCTAGGCAGAGTGGTGGCAGGAGGGCCAGGGCAGGGAGTGCAGGAGGCAGCCGGAAGTGGGAGGGTGGGAGCCCAGTGGAAGGCGCTGGCCGTTTCCCGAAAGCTTTTGGGCCCCTGGGATGCAGAATCTCAGCCGTGGTGTGGGTCCCGACCGAGGGCCAGGGACGTGATGGAATTCCACATCCCAAGCCAAGGGAACAGGCACTGCAAAGCTGCGGAGAAGCCGGAATCACCGCTGCCCTTGTGGGAGGGGCCCCCGGGGGAGGCACCGGGACAGGGCAGGGGTGAGAAGGAGCTCCCACGGCGGGCCATACCGAAGGGCGCGTGGCTGGTGGTCAGTGAGCAGCAGGTGCAAGTCGGGCAGCAGGGCCGGGAGGCGGCTCCCTGGCCCGTTCTAAGGACCATGCTCGGGACCACAGACCATCCAGCACTGGCTCTTCAGTGTGAAGTCCACAGTCTCAAAGGGTGTTGGGCACGGAAGGCAGGGTGTGAACCCAGGCTGCCACGGAGGGGAGAGCATACCCCCACGCCCGCCCTGGCCTGGAGGGCCGCCATACTCAGGGGAGACGTGGCATAGTGACCGGGACAGGGGCCACGACCCTGTGCAGCTGGCACAGGGTCCATGACCCAGGAAGCAGTCCACCTGTAAGTAATCTCTGAGGCCAGGGCAGATCGGGCAGACCTGGCCCCAAACTGTTCCTTGCTGCCTGGGGCTGGATGGACCCACAGCGGCATTTGTGACATGCGTGTTCCCAGGCAGCAGGAAAGGGGGTCTGACAAACAGACGCTATGCAGGCAGGAGGGTGTGTGTGTGTGTGTGTGTGTGTGTGTGTGTGTGTGTACACGTGTGTGTGTGTGTGTGTGTGTACACGTGTGTGTCTCTGAGAGACAAGAAAGGAGGGAGGGAGCCGGGAGGGTCGTACCGTCGGTCCAGGCCTCGTGGATGGAGGCCTTCTGCCGGAACTTCTCCGCCAGGTGGTCGAGCCGCTCCAGCCTGCGGATCTCGTTCAGCAGCCACTCCTCGTAGCCCTTCTCGGCCTGCTCCAGGTGCTGCCAGCCGTTGTTGATGTCCTGTGGGGGCGGGAGAGGGCAGGGCTACCACAGGGAGCTGGGGCACGCAGCAGGGCAATGCCTCCCTGAAGGTTACCACCCTGATGATGACGGGAAGGCAGCAGAAATGGGCCGGGGTCACATCTCTCCCCGGCTTGGCTGTATCTGCGTGTCTGGACAGGGCCCAGCACATGGCAGGTGCGGTCAATACTTTTGGAGTAAATGAATGAGTGAAAATGAACGAATGCCATACGGGGCACTGGGAGTCAGAAGGTGACTGTCCAGTGAATACTGTCCCTCCCCTGAGAAGGGGCCTCAAGCACTGGAGGTCCTGGAGTCACAGCCAAATGAGGGTCCAAATTCAAACAATTCCACACAAACTATGGTGTGGTTTGGGGATGGGTGTAAAGGTCTGGGGAGTGATGGGGGGAGAAGGAACACAGTGAAGTGTCCAGTGCATGCCCCACTGCACTCTGCACTCCGAAAGCTGTGCATTTCAGTTAAGAAAGACCATGCTGGGGAAATAAGCCTGTGGGCGGTGAGCAGCTGCCCCTCAGCTGTTCCCTCACAGGGAACCTGCAGCCCCACACACCTCCTGGGCCCCGGCCCACCCTCAGCCCCCGGCACTCACCGAGACCATCCTGCCCTCGGAGGGCATGAAGGCGGGCCGGTTGCTGAGGCGCAGCTTGGTCTGCAGCGTGTTGAAGTTGATCTCCAGCTGGCACTTCTCCTGCACCTTGGGCGGCTTATGGACGCGCCGGTAGTCGCGGAAGTCCTCCAGCTTCTGCTGCATCTCCTGGATGGTCTTCTGGGGCACGCGGTCCTCCAGCCAGGGGATGGTGCGCCGGATCCACTCCAGGAGCTGTGGGCCCACAAGAAGCTGCGGTGGCCTCTGCAGGGGACCCTCTGAGCACAGATAGGGCCGCCCCCGGCTCATGGGCACAGGGGACCTGGATCTCCGAGGGCCCCATCTTGGGGAATCACCCCTGCTCCCCAGCTCGACTTTTCCATGATTCCTGATGGGAATCCCATGACCAGGAATTCTGGGAACACGTGCCCCCTCTGAACCACGGGGCTGTTCTCTGGCTACTTCCTGCTCCTGCCTTTGCTTTTGGCCTTCCTTCCCTCATCTAAGCGGGGCAGCCTCAATTCAGACGCCCCTCCTGGATGGCCGCCCCCATTGCACCCCCATGAGAGCCCGCTGTCGCCATCTGCACCGAGCTTCACACTGAGAGCCTCACTGTGTCCTGGTCACTGACTGTGCCGCCTCAAGGGCAGGGCTGACTGCACGCCTAGCTCACTCTCGGGTGGTCAGTGCCATGCGTGGGCCCTGGGACACAGAAAATTATAAAGTACAACTGAAACAGAAAGTGACCTGTATGGGCCACTCATGTCTTTGTTGGAGTGAGACCAGGGTACAAACAAGCAAACAAACTGGACATTCTAGAACAATCCTAGGAGGGGAAAATCGAGTACTGTCCAGCACAGATAGGCTCGGGGAAGTGGTTCCCAAATGCCAACCTCTGGCAGGATGAGAAAACCAAGGACAAAGGTCTCCGTGTGTGTTGACATCTTGGTGCGTGATGCTAACTGCCCTCCCTTGGGAAGGGCCGGGATCCTAAGATACAACCTTTTAATCTTTCTTAGGTGTTAGACATGATGGTGGTAACAAACGGTAGCCTTTTCTTTTAAAAATATCCTTAACTTGGCAAAATAAGAAGGTCACCACTCTAGGTTGGCTGGCAAATACTTTCCCAAATTTTCCTGGTCTGTGAAATCTCGAAGTCTGGGAACCACTGGTCTAGAAGAGCAGTCAAACTACTCCTCTTGGGGAGCGTAGATGTTTTTATTTTTTTTTAATGTGGAAATTTTAAAAATAGAGGGGAGAATCTAGGAGAGATGTACTGAACACCCACATTCCCAACTGATGGTCCGGGTTCAGGTTCCGGAGCAGGGCTGCCTGGGTTTGAACCTCCGTCCCACCAAGCCGCATGGTGGTGGGTTTGTGCCTGACCCTCTCTGGGCCTGTTTCCTCACTTGGAAAAGGGGGTAATAGGAGTTCCCTCCTAACAGGGCTGTTGCGGAGATGGTAGATCCTGTTCGTGAAGTGCTTGCACGGGGGCCTGACATGACAAACTGCTGTCCTGTCACCATATCAGCTCTTGGGTCTCTCTCCATCCTACGGAATCAGTCTCTCCATGGGTGGGGCATGGGAACAAAAATTTTTAAAAAGCTCCCCAGCTGATTCTAATGCAGCTGAGTGTTCAGAAAACGCTGTCCTTGAGTTATCTTCTGTAGAAACCCAAGCTCGAGACCCCAGAAGCCAGCCAGCATAGTGACACAGCAGTCTGACCCCTTAGTCCTGTAAAATCAACCCGAAAGGTCACATACTGGCTTGGTCAAACTCCACAGCCTATATAACCTTACGACCTTTTCTAGAAAGTCTCGCTGCCATCCCTGCTCTCCCCTCTGCAGATGTCCCATGACCTTTGGCAGAGAGTAACAAGAGGTGACCTAATCTTTCAGCGCTGGCGGGGGCCACCAGGGCAGGGGGGAGTGACACACTCACGTCGCTGGCCAGCCTCTCATAATCTTCCATCAGGTGTTCATTCTCCTGGTTGACAGCCAGCACCTTGCAAATCCGGTTGGCAGCAGTCTCAGCCTGGGGCAGGGGAGGGGAAAGCACACAGTCAGGGCTGCCTGGGGGCTGCTGACCCTCCCTCCTGACAGGCACGTCCCCCGAAAGCTGGCTCATCCATGGCCCACACAGAAGTCCCCAAGGAGGGAAGGAGAGGAAGCACAGCTTCAGCAAGATGGGGCCGAGTGGCTGTGTCCCGACAGGCCTTTCCGGGGCCCCCAAAGCTTACTGCTGAGGCCCCCGCCAGGGGAGCTGGGCCTGTGGGCTCTCTCGACTTGGACCGTGGAGGTGCTGAAGGGGACTAGGGAGCCGTACGCTCACCCACTGTGGGGGAAACGGACTCACAGGCCCTCCAAGAGGAGGGTTGGGTGAGGCTGGGTAGGGTCCTCCGCTAGGCTAAGGACCCTCCCCTTGGCTGGGAAGGGAGACCGCGGGGAAGGCCGAGCGCCAGAGAGCTGTGGCGGCGGGCGGGGGGGGGGGGGGGCTGGCGCCCCCCAGAGAAGTCTGGTGGTCAGTGCGCAGGCAGAGCATGCCCGGCCCCTTCCTAATCCTCCCCTCGAGGAGGCTGCTGAAGGCTCAGAGGGCGGAAGTCACGATGCACAGGGCGGAGGGGAGCCAGGGCTTCGGAGAGTAGGGAGCGGTGCAGACAGTGACTAGTCTCTGCCCAGAACTACAGGACAATGTCCTGCTTTGTCCTGCTGGGGGGAAAATGCAAGGACAGGAGAAGGAGGGTGAGGGATGCCACACAGAGACCAGGTACCTTTCAGGAAGCACAGAAAGGGTCCAAGAAGAAGAGTTGAAACGGCAACAGAACAGGAACAGAAATAGTGAGGAGGGTCTACAGAGTGGCGGGGAAGGAAAACAGAGAGGCTTGGGGGTGGCTCCAGACCTGGCTAGCTGCAGGCACTGACGCCCAGCCTCCCACTTCCACACGCTGCTCTGGGACAGGTGGGGAGGTGAGTGGGGGACCAGCTGAGAGTGGTGCACACACACACACACACACACCCTGCTTCATGCTGCAGGACACAGGCCGACGGCCACAGGCAGTGCTCCTCAGAGGTGAGGTTCCCGAGGGCCTCGGCCAATGAACACCCAGCCCCTAGTGAGTGCAGGAAGCAGAGCCAAGATCGCAGCTTGTGGGGGAGTCGCGGACGTGAGTCCCTGACCCCAAATCTGGAGAGACAACCGGCGCCCCAAGCTCAGCTCCACTGCGCTGTGCAGGCCCGCGAAGGTGCGGGCTGCTGGTCACAAGTGTTTTGGTTCACCACTGAGTTCCTGGCACCCAGCTCAGGGCTTGGCGTGTTTGAGGTACTCAAGAGTTGATGAATGAATGAGTGAGCAAAGGAACAAGGAGCAAATGCTTTAGTGACTAGAAATAAACTATCAGGAGAGAACGGGCAAACTTGGTGCTAGGGCTAGGGTTGCCCTTGCATTCATGAAACAAAACAAAACCCAGAGAGCACTCTTTTAAGAGACTGGATTGAACCTCTGGGGAAAAGACAGCCACAATAATAAAAGCATTACAAGGATGTCCTGGGAAGTAAACACGGGCCGGGGGAAGCTGGGCTCATAGCCGGAGAGGCCTGGATCCTGCACGTCCCTTGGTGACGGGCAGCTCCCAATAGGCCGGCCTTTATTTCCTCCCTCACGAGAGGGGCCCAGCTGCCTCAAAGACTCCCAAATGCTCTGACCTGGGCTTTCCTGCCAGTATCCCCTCCCACAGATGCCTCAAGGCCTCCGGTCCCCCACACCAGAGCTCAGCTCTAAGCATGAGGGGGCAGTTTGGGCAGAGAGAAGACACTCCCTCGAGGGCAGTGTGGTGGGCAGCGAGGCTGGCTTGGGGCCCGTGGAGGGGTGAGGCCAACACAAACGTGCTGTTAGTTGGGGTTTGTGGCGAGGAATCTATCACCGCCCACCCCCCCCCCCGCCTTCCTGCTAGGGTGAGGGGTCCCCTCCACTCTCCCTTCCTGTGCCCCCCCACAGAACACTCCGAACACGAGCTCCGACCACCTGCCGGGGAGGTGGCACGGGAAGTGGCACGGCGGGCAGAGGCGGGCCACTCTGACTGCCGGGCCGCGGGCGGGGCGCTTAAGGGGCCAGGCACCGTCCTGAGCTCTTCACCCGCATGAGCTCACTTCATCCTCAGGACAGCCCTGAGACGGGTACTAGCCTGCTCCACGTTTTCCACGTGGGAGAACGGAGGTGAAGAGACTTATCCGAGGTCACACTGCTGAGAGGCGGCCCAAGCAGATGGCCCGTAGGAAGGCCCCCACTGGCCTTGAGGCTCTGAAGGAGGCAGCAAAGTCCCCGCCCCGTGACTTCAGTGTCCTCCTCTTGTAAATGGGGATAACGGCACCCACCCCTCCCGGGGGTGTGCAGGGGACTCTTAGAGCCTGTGCACATGGAGTCCTCGGAGCAGTCCCTTGCATGCAGTAAGTGCTCAATAAATGAGAGCTCATTTCTTCTTGCTCTCCTCCCTGCCCAACTGCCAACGGTGACACAAGATCAAGCTGCTGGGAATACACCGCTGGCCAAGACCAGACACCCAGGAGGCAAGTGGAGGGGACAGAGCCGGCCAGGCCTCCACGTGGGGGCAGCTGGGCACCATCCTGTGGAAGCAGAGGGCTCCTGACAGGCGCAGCGGGGGACACGTGAGGTCAGCCAGGCTCGGGGAGGGCCGCTCCTGGGAGCAGACACTTCTGACGGCCCTATCTGTGTCCGCGGGGCTGCTGGGGACAGCGGCCTGACGATCTGGGTCAGCAGGAGCAGGCCCAGAGCCTTTCCTGGGGCCTTTGGGAGGGGACAGAGCTGCAGAGAGGGGCAGCAAAGCCAATGCTCCGGGCAGAGGCACAGCCAGCGCAGCAGGCAGGTGGCCGGCACGGATCACGGAAAGGGCGGGGCGGCCAAGCAGAGCAGCACAGGCCCAAGCTGCGCTCTGCCATCTAAGGTGACACTGGGATTCAGCTGCCTTGTCTGAGAAACCAGGGTGCCACCACCCATCTCACAGAGTGGGCGGTATTCACAGAGAGACTACCTGTGGTGTCTCGACACTGGGCCAGCACCGGCTCGGTGGTGGCAATGGAGGCCCACAGTCACAGGAACCTGCCAGACTGGGTCGGTCCTCAGGCCGCAGCCCGGGCAGGGGGACGTGGGGGTGGAGGGGTGGCAAGGGCGAGTCTCCAGCCACAGCAGTGAGGGTGCTCCCGCCCCAGCTCACCTTTTGAGCCCCCGAGAAAGCGTGGTAGAAGCAGGACACGTAAGTCATGATGGCTTTCTCATCTGGCCTCAGAGTGCCTACAATATCTGCGCAGAGAGAGAGAGAGAGAGAGAGAGGCAGGAGAGAGTGAAAGACGCAGGAAGGCCGGCCGAGGCCCGAGGTTCATGCGGAGGAACAGCGCTTGCTCTGGACTGGAAGCCAGACCCTGGCTCCGGCCTGGGTGGGCATGTCTTGCCGGGGTTTTGTAGAGGGGAAGGGGGAGGGTCTGAATAAGATGGATTCCTTTTCGAACCAGGCCTGAGTTTGTGAAACACTAGCAAGGAAGCCTTGTTTAGGGCTGGAAGGATCAGGTGTTATTTGATCTTCCTGGAAACATAAGCAAGATCCTGTCCGGTGTGACCACCTACCACCTTAGCATAAACCCCTGGTGGTCTCCTGATGTCCCCAGAATAAAACCCAAACTCCGGATCCCAGACTACGATGGTCCTGCACGGCCTGGGCCCGTCACGTTTTCCGACCTCATTTTCCTCCCCTCTCCTACTCTTCTCCAGCCATTCCTTGAAAAAGCCATGCTTATTTACACCTCAGGGCCTTCGCACTTGCTCCCCCCTCTACCTGGAACACTTTTCCTACAGATCTTCACCAGGCAGCTCCTGCTCACCTTGCCTCCCCTGACAGCCCCAGCGAAGCAGCCCCCACGCTTCCCCATCCCACCATCCTGTCCCATGCTCTCGACTGCACTTATCACATGAAATTACTCTATCTGTGGACACGCCTGTTGTCTGCCTTGCCCACTAGAATGTAAGCTCCATGAGAGCAGGGACCGTGCCTGACTCAGTCACTGACTATATCCTAAGTGCCTGGAACAGAGCCTGGCACAGGTCAGGCCCTTGATAGACAGTGTGGGCAAGGACTGAATGGGCGGAGGTGCCAAGGAGTCAAGGGGTGGCTTCCAGTCGGAGAGAGACCGCTGCCGTCTGCAAGAGAAATGAGGTGAGCACGGGAGGCGAGAGGCAGCAGCGGCATTGGGCAGTGGCAGCGAGGTGGGCCTGCCTGGCCCTGCCCGGTACCTTCTGCGCTCCTGAAAAGGCATGGTAGAAGCTGGACACATAGGTCATTATGGCCTTCTCGTCGGGCCGGGCCGTGTTCACGATGTCTGCAAGTGAACAACAAGGGTTAAACTGCCCAAGCAGGGGCGGGTGGGGCGGGGGCGGTCACCCACTGGATCCACAGGCTCCCAAGGCCACAGCCATCCCGGGAGAAGGACCCTCAGAGCTGATTCCACGGCCCTTGGCGACTCCAGTGGGCTTGGCTTGGCCACACCCTTGGCCCCTCCATCCCCTATGGTCACTGGAAAGGCCAAGCCTGTGGGAAATGGATTAAAACGAGGCCACTTCCTCTCTCTGAGAGTGGCCTCAAGGGGCTGCTAGACGGTCAACCCCAAAGGCCACCAGAGGCCAGAGGCATGGGTCCTGGCTGGGGGTGGTACATGGCTGGGAAAAGGAGCAAAGCCGGAAAAGGAAAAAACACTCCACTTTGGTGGGCTCCAGACTCCGAGGCTGTGGCAGGCAGGGAAGGCAGAGGCCTTGGTTGTTTGCAGGAGTCAACCCTCCTGGCGACCTCCCTCGCCCCTCCGGAGGGAGGGGTGGGATCAGTCAGGAAGGCAGGGCACCTGGGCCCAGCCCAAGAGGCAGCCCCTGAGAGCTGACCCTTCAAGGACCTCTTCCCCACCACCTGCACCCCTGGCTGCTCAGGCTGCTCCTGCTCTGGCTCCCTGGGTGACACCACTGTCCCCAGTTCACGCTGATTCATTCAGGCGTTCTGGCTGGCTCCGCCAGCTCCCTGAGGCTACTGCAAGACATGCCCACAAAACAGGGTGCTGACTGAACAAAAGGGATGTACTTACCCTCTGCATCCAACATCTTGGGGATGTCTAGGTATTTCTCAGCCACTTCAAAGGCATTGTTCAGGTTGGTGACGGGGTCGTCCTGGGGGAGGGAGGTGAGGGAAGGAGGAGAAACTTGGTCAGGGGCAGGATGCACAAGCAGAAGGAACAAGGGCTGGCCCGGAAGGGAGGGATCTTGGGAAGGGCTAGGACTGGAAAGGGTCCTTCAGGCAGTTCTCAGCCACCTGTGCTGCTGCAGGGATCAGTGAGGGGAGGGGGGACACCCGGCTAAAGTCAATTCCTACCCAAAGGAATGCCTCTGGAAATCTTTGTGGGGCGAACTGTGGACCCTTTCTCCAGAGACAATGCAGGCGTGCTCTTTTCTTAGAATTTCCATCCATCCCCAGACCCCAGATTAAGACCCCTGCCCTGAAACCCACACTGGTCCAGACCTGAGAGAGCCCTGGGCGTGGGGGGTGGGGTAGAGAGGGAACGGAGTGCATCCACGTTCTAACCTCCCTACTCTAACTGCCCCCGTTCTAACCTCCCTACTCTAACTGCCCCGCTGCTTACAGAATGAAAGGCACTTCACCCTGACCCTCCCTCAGGTGCCTTCACCTAGGCTTTCCAGCTAGAGCCCAATACGATTACTCACTGCGGACTGAACGGGCTAAGTGCAGGCCTGTGCCTCCCCAACCTGGGATGCCCGCTCTCTGGCCCTCAACTGCCTCCTCCCCAGAGGCCCTGCCCCCACCGGGCCAGCTCAGGTGTGCCTTCCTTCCTCTGGAGCATTTGTCCGGCCCCATCCCCTCTCCACTCCCACGCAGCCTGAGCACATGCACAGGGCCCTGCACGGCTGGTTTGCTCTGGACGCAACTGTCCTGTCTTCCCCGCGAGGCTGGCAGCTCCTAGAGGGCAGAGCCTGGGTCTTACACGCTCTGTACAGGCAAAATACAACAGAACCCCGCACGGGACAGGGCTGCCGGCGGTGATGGTTTAGAATTCTTTACCCCTCCCCAAATGCTTCCAGAATCTAGAGGGTTAAGGAAGGGCGGCTATTAAGCATGGCCGGCCAGGCCCTACAATAACCCCAGGTAGCTGCGATGACCAAGGAGGGAGAAGGGCAGTCCCCAAGGGGAGCAAAGGAGGGGAGATCAGCCACCGAGCCTGGGGTCTGCTGACAGCTGGCACAAGGCCCTCCCAGTCTGCCCATCTGAGCACAGAGTCCAGCTCTGGACGCCAGCAACAGATGGGCTTGGGGGCGGTGGCCCGTAGCCAGGGTCAGACTCAGGGTGTCTGTGGGCCACTGAGGGGAGCAGGAGACACGTACCTTTCTCAGCTTGTCGTACTCAATCAGCTCTGGTCTGTGCCGGTGGATCAGGGCATTGAAAGCAAGACCGTCCTTCCAGCTGGGGATGGAAAGGCCAAGGTTATGAGTGGAGCCCCCCCACCGTCGTGGGAGGGCTGCAGGCTGTGGGCACCCACAGGAATGATTAACTCCCACTCAGTGAGGTGGTTTAGAGTGTGTGCCTGGCACTGTAGGCAGACGGTGTGGCCGGCTGGCCGTGAACCTGGCTGCTGGAGCCAGACCATCTGGGGGAAATCCCAGCCCTTCCACTCGCTGTCAGTGTGACCTTGGGCAAGTCCCATAATCTCCTGCTACCTCAGTTGCCACATCCGTAAAATGGGGATAATACAGTACCTACACTTCATTGGGCTGTTGTGAGGATGAAATGAGTAACTATGTGAGGCTTTGGCTGATACCTGACAAATGACAAGTGCTTTGAGTGCTCATTACCAGGGTAGCTGTGACCTGCTGAGCACTGTCCCTGCAAGGCCCCACTGAGCCGGGCAGGCCACTGCAGGCCCTCTGCACCTTAGCTGACCTGACCCGTGGGCTGGCTAAATGCCGGGATGTGGCTTGACACGAGGGGCTCTGTTCAGAGGAGAGTGACAGCTGGTCACAGTCCATACTAGTCACACTGGCTCTTTCATGGGTCAAGGTTAATGACGCCTCCTTAGAAAGACCCCCCCCCGGCCCCCGACTGTGGTACTCTTCCGGTTACTTTCTATCACCTTATCCTACTTTGTCGTCTTTCTATGACTCCTCTCACTACCTGAAATTACGCTGTTGGTTTCTTCACGCCTTTGTGAACTACTGGTCCCCCTGCTGCGGTGTTACCTTCCAAGCGTGGGGACTTTATTTTGGTGCTGCTGTATTCCCACTCTTGGCATGGAGTAGGCATTCCATAGACATTTAGTGATTGAATAAATAAACGAGTAGAAATGCACAGGGACTTCCCTGGTGGCACAGTGGTTAAGAATCCGCCTTCCAATGCAGGGGACGCGGGTTTGATCCCTGGTCGGGGAACTAAGATCCCACATGCCTCAGAGCAACTGAGCCCGCAGGCCACAGCTACTGAGCCCACGCTCCACAAGGAAAGATCCCACGTGTGGCAACTAAGACCCAATGCAGCCAAAAAAAGAAAAAGAAATGCACAGAGGACCAGCCAGCTGGTGGCAGGAAAAGGAAGGAAACACACAGAGGAGCTCAAGGGAGGGACCAAATGCTCTCAATGCAGAGCACAATGGTCCCCAACGTCCAGTGCCAGGGCTCCAGGAAGCCTGAGGACACAGTAGGACCTCTGTGGATCCCATGAAGCCCCGTTCTTCATTCCTACGTGTGCCCTCTCCCTGGTCCATCCACCCCAGGAGAACACCAGAGGCTCAGAGAGGTGAGGTCACAGAGTCACACCAGATCTGACCTCGGGGCCGCCCCCAAAGCCTGCACTCCTAACCCCCGGGCCATGCCACGCTCCCAGATCTTGTGTGGCACTGACCACACTCACCTCATGGACACACTCATTTCCCGCCCTCAACCGAGGAAGAACAGGCTCGTGCAGGCCGAGTCTTGTTCCTCTAGTGGACACAGTACATTTTTCCCAACACTACATTCACTAGCAACCGTAAGGATGGCAGGTCCCTCTTGAGAGGTCAAAACAAAGGAAGAGCTTTGTTGTTGCTTCTGAGTTACCTTGCTTGGGGAAAAAGAAGATTCTAGAGGGCCTGCCAGAGTGCCGGGCCTTAATGCCTTTAGCCTGGGACGGCGAGGTGACTGCTGCCTCCCCCAGGGGACGCAGGGACCTTGCCAGGGGCTCACGGGGGCCAGTGGCAGGGGGAGGGGCCGCTGAGAGCTGGCACCTCACAGACCATGACAACACCACAGGAAAAGAGAGAGGGTGGGAGGACCGCATCTCAGGTCCCAGGAAGCAGAGTGGGAATGATGTGGGCCGGGTGCTTTGGCCGGCGCTCACCTGATGTGGAAGTTCTGCACGTTGACGTTCTTGTACGGGGCCGTCTTTCTCTGGCACCAGAGAAGGAGCCCTTCCTTGGCAGAGGTCTCTGCAAAACACATGAGGATGGTGAGCACTGGCCCAAAACTAAGCGCTCAGAACCCAGCCCCGGTGGACTGCACTTTCGGCTCGGGCATAAGGGTCGCACAGAACCTGGGGGAGAGGCCCTTGGACGGAGCAGCAGCAGTGCCCTAACAGCACGCCAGGCCCCGAGGAGCAGTCCCTTGCCTGGGGTCACCCCAGAAGTGGCAGTGACAGGCCAGTGTGAGGGCCTGAACCGGCGCCATGTTTCTGACCCCAAAGCCTGTGCCTTTAGCTGGCAGGACACACGGCCAAACAAGCCCTGATGCGGGCCTGCCCACTCAGGGTCTCTAGACCTGGCCGCAGCTTCGAGGAAGCAGGGAGGGAGGGCCCCAGGAGGTCCGTCCGTTCCCCGTGGACAGCTCTGACTGTCCTCAACACACTGGGAGTGCTACAAGTGACCAGATAGATGCGCTCCCTGCTGTGGTCTGTCACCAGGAGCCCCCTCTGCACACTGGCCCTGTGGCTTTTCTCATCCTGTGGTGGCCTGGACCAACCCCAGGTCCATGGAGGCCAAGGTCCGAGGGTGGGAGGCTGAGTGGAAACATAGGTGCTGACGCCCAGGAGAACGAGGCCAGGCCTGACTCTATCACTAGTTTGCTACTTGACTGTAAATTGGGGCCACACTTGACAAGGGTGGTGTGAGGGTCCACTGAGATGGGCGGCTGCGGGGGGGACCCTTCACCTGCAGCCTGGGCCAGCACCTCTACTAACCACCCCCAGGCAGGGCATCTGAGTGATGTCTGGACACAAGAAAGAGCCTCAAAGCATGAAGACAAAAAGCCCGAAATCCTAACTAAGTCCCCCCAGCTCGGGTGGAACCAGGGTGGGGAGGAGAGGCTGTTCTTTGCCCGTGAGCAGGTCCTTGGCTCTCACCTTCCACAGAGATGTCCTGGATGGCGAACCTGAGGATGATGGTCCAGATCATTCCCAGGGTCATCTTTGCGTTGCCGTCCACAATCTCTGCACGCAGGGAAAGGGGGCAGAGGGCAAGAGGGTTGTTAAAACCAGAGTGGGACTCCCCAGGCGGCCCCCGGCCCTGTCTAGAGATTAACTCCAATCATCTGAAAGAGCTGCCTAGGCCTGTCCTCCACCACCTTCACTGGGAGAAGATGTCCCCTGAACACTCCGGGAAGTGCTGTCCCTAAAGCCTTCTGCTGCCTGGCACCTTCGGGCTTCCATCCCCGTGTATTCTCGGCCACGCAGGCCTCTTCCTCTCTGGGCAGCTCATTCTCTTGACCCAGCTCAACGGACTGCTCCCCGCTGAGCCTCGTCCCAGGTGTTGGGCCTCCGTTTCCAGGACCCACCACACCTTATGGGCATGTCTCTTGAGAGTCTGCCCACTTCCTTCCAATCCCACTGCCGCCACCTTCGTCCGAGCCACCGTCGTCTCCCTCAGATCCTCCCGTGCTGCCTCCTCCATCCCCACTGCGATCCACCCCACGCGGCAGGCACAGTGTTCACTGGAACAGGTGCACCGGATTTGTGTCGGTCGCCTGCTTTGTGTTCTGGAGTCTGGCTTACAAGGCCTGCCCTGCGTGACTCCCACCTCCCTCCCCAGCATTCTCCAGCTCCGTCCTCTCAACAAGCCAGCTCTCTCTTGTTTTAAGGATCTCACACCTTCTGGCCCGCCACAAAGCGCACGCCTCGACCCTTTCCTCACATGGCTGGTCCTTCCCAGCCTGTAAGGCTCTGCTTATATGTCACCTCCCCAGAATGGCTTCCCTGACCGTCCCGGTGCCTCTCTCCCCAGCACCCTGCTCTTCCCCTCACACACTGATATGTGCTGGTTTGTCTAGTTGTTCACTGTCTGCCTTCGTGATCACCTCTGCACCCCCAGCACCTGGACCCGGCCCTTGAGAAAGACACGGTGCTGCAGGAAGGGGAGAGTGGGTAGCACAAGGTCCAGCTGATAAGTGCGTGCTTTTTTAACTAACCGAAAACCAGCCTCTCTCCCAAACTTCTGGGAGTGAAAGAGAAGGGTTTGGACCACACGTTCTTCAGCTTCAGCAGCTTAAGAGAAAAACCACTTCTGCAACGCTCAGGCACCGTGTGTCTGCAGCCAGGTGAGGGAGGTGCATGCAAGCGGCCTCTTCCTGGGGCCCGTGGGCCCAACACGCCTTTGGCGGTCCTCTCAGGCCTGCCACCCCCACGCCTCTCACACACCGGATGCAGGAGAGAGGATGCGGAGAATGGAGGGGACACTTCAAGAGAGCTTGCTCACCAGCCTCGAGAACAGAAAACTCTAGGCGGGCTTGATCTGGGAAGGAGGCACGATGGTCCCCCAGAGGATGGGGCCCAGCCTTCCCCGAGGACATGCTCGCTAGGAAAGGGTGGGTGCTCTTTTAGCCACTGGAGAGGCTCCCCACAGCGAAGCCATGGGCTGACGGCCGAGGGCACCTCTCGGCTTGAGGGTTTCAGGAGAGGAGATATGCGTAGCTGGCCGCCTGGAAGCAGGGGAAGGACACGTTGTCTGTCCAGCTCTCTCCCAGTGTTAAGAACCCCCACGGCCGGAAACGAGGCCGAGCCTTCCCAGCGTGGGGTGAGGGCGGTGATTCATTCAGGAAATCTACGCTGCGTTCCCCCCGAGGGCCAGGCACCCCAAAGCCGGGGACGGACACAAGCTGGAGAGGAGGCCGCAGCGCCCATACCCAGCCGCTTCCACGAGCAAGCTGGTCACGGAGGACTCAGAGAGTCCCTGTGAGGGGAGGAAGACGGCCGCTCTCATGACACATCCACCAGCTGCTTCTTGGACCTGCAGCTGTGCCTCCGACTCCCAACCCCTCTCACAACCCCCACGAGGAAGCCACGTTCCTGCAACTGCCTAGATGGTGTGGAGGGACAGGGAGCTGGGGGTGGGCGGGGACTGGGGCGCTCAGGTATCCCAAAGCCCTCGGAGCGGCTCCAGTCGGCTGTCCTCCAGAGGCCCGACGGCCACGGGGATTGGGAGTGAAGCAGCTTGGGCATGAACGGAAAACATTTTTAGACTGAGTTTTTCTCCAGATGAAAACTGATGACTGCCACGGGTCTCTCCTCTAACCCCTTCTGTATTTACAGGCTAGCATCTGAGCAAAATCAATGCAGCTGTGAGAAGCGGAAGGCTGGAGGGGAGCCAGGAGGAAAGAGCCATGCAAGAACAGAAAATCTCAGGGTCTGACTGAGTTCAGGGTTTTGATTTTTTTTTTTTTTAAGCAAACACCAACCACCTCAGCCGTGGCATGCGAGGCTTGGCAGCGCTCCCTGGAGAGGTCCCGGGTTGGGGCAGAGCCCTGGAACGCGGGATGCGCATTCTGGCCCGGAGTCCTGGCCAAATTCTCGGAGCCCTGCCATTAGCGGCAATTAGTTTTCTTTGTTTTTCTAAAAGCTGGGACAACATGGATATGGGGGTGTAGGAAACCCTGCTCTGATTAATGACCAGAGCTGGGAGCCCAGGCTGATGGGGAGCTTCTGGGCTCTGTCAGGCCTCGCCTGGTCTCCAAAGGCGTCTGTGAGACAAGAGCCTGCACTGGAGGGAGGGCACTCCGCTGCTCCAGGGAGGGCTCGGAGACAAGGGTCACAGTTCCAGGTGCCCGCACGGGGCGCAGAGGATCCCGGGTATTCTGTCAAGAGGCCACACTCTCCCAAGCTGTGCAGCCAGCAAAGTCTGCTCACTGACCTTTGGGCTTACACTCCCTGACACCGGGCCTCAAGCGCCCTCCCCTACTCTGAGCGCTCCTGCCTGCAGACACCAGACAGGGCCTAAGGGCGAAGGTGCTGCTGGCTCAGAGAGATGCCGTGTCACGTGTCGGTCTGTGTCCCTCAGGCCCGGCACCAGGAGGGCGAGTGAGGGTGTCCGGGGTCCAAGTCAAAGCCATTCCTCCCCCTGTGCCCCTCATGACCGGGTGAGCTGGATTTCCTGGTCTTGGGCTGGATTATCCTTTGGGGGAAGGGAGGGAGGTCTGTGGGCCCAGCATCACATCAAGGGCAGTCACTGTGGTCGCTGCTTGGTGTATCTGGGCTTTAGGCACCCCCAAGTGCTCTCTCTGCCACCAACACAACTTCTGTTCCCAAGGCAGAGGTCGGGCCCCATCTGAGCTCACCTTCCGCCCCAATGGAGACCAGCTTGACTCCTTTGCTGGCGATGAAGTCCAGTGCCTTGTTCACATTGTTGATTTTGTGCACTCTCATCTTGCCCCGCTCCGGCTTAGGTAACCGCTCCCCTGAGGGCCAAACACCGAGAAAGAGAGGGAGAGGAGCTTCAGGGTCCCCGCTGCTCCCCAGAACAGGCCCATGCCAGCGCAGTGCTGCTGCAGCTGGTAAAGGCCCCGCTCTTCCCTGAGCAGCAACGGGACGGCGGGGTGGGTAGCACCCCGTGGGCACCCGCAGGAGGGGGCCTCACCTGAAATGACCTCCAGGAGGAGCATGAGCTTGAGCCCGTCTCGGAAGTCCTCGTCGATGTTCTCGATCTGCGTGCCGGCCTTCCTCAGGTGGGAGTTGCACCAGGCTGTGAAGGTCTGGGGAAGCAGAGGAGAGCATGGCTTGGAGGGTTGGCGTGTTCGTCAGGGCTCTCCAGCAAAAGGGCCAGGTCACAGCCCTGACCCTGCGACAGCACGGCTGCCACGGGGCCCTTGCTCAGGGCCAGGTCCTGGGCCCCACCTTTTATCAACAATGACACTGTTTCTGGTCTTTACAGCGACCCAGGCAGGTGGATCTGAGGACACTGAGGCTCAGGGCAGTTACCAGACTACCACTTGGTCAGCCAGGTGACGAGTGGCAGAGCGTGGACTGGAAGCCACGTCGGCCAGCCTCAGAGCAAGTGCTGGCCCCACCACACCCTGAGTGAGCCCACTGCACGCATCGGGCAAAGGTGCTGACGGAACCGGGTCCTGAGCATGGAAACAAGAAGCAGGGGTCCAGCTCCCGCGGACACGTTCTTCTGGACAGACCCACCAGCCCTCCATCCCCCTGAGCGGGCAGAGCAGACCACAGGTCCCCACGGCCCTGGCTCCCTTCCACCTGCCCCTCCCCTCAGGCAGGGGCAGCGATTTCCCCATCACTGGCACAGAGATGACTTGGGACAGGAAAGCAGTTGGAAAACAAGCCTCCTGTAAATTCAAGGTTTGCTCAAGTCAGTCTCTCTTCGAACTGCCAGTAGCCCAGTGGCAACACCTCCCCCAAAGGCCGGGCGCACAGATCCTCCGAGCCTTGTGGCACCCCTATATATGCTGTTTCCCTAGAGGCCAGACACCCTCTATTCCCTGGAGAACATCCCACGCCCCACCCTTCCACATCTTAAGATCCAGTGTATCTCAGAGGGGGCTGGAAGGCAAGTGGGAGGCAGGCACCCACCCCCACCAGGGTTAGGCAACCACATCTGAGGAGGAACTGCCGGAGGATCACAGGGCACGCGGGTGCTGGAAGGCGAAGGGGCCTTTTCAGGTGGAGAGGCCCGTCGATAAGAAGCCCAAACCCCAAACCAGAGCACAGAATGCCCGAGTAGTAACCACCACTCAGCCCCCTGCTGGCTGGGGCGTGTTATCAGACTTCAGCGCCAGGGGTGCACGTCACATCAGTTAAAGGTGCATGTGCCCAGATGCCTTCTGTGGAGACAGGCCCCTGCAGCAAGATCTGGGAAAAACCCCACGCCTGTTTCTCACGGGAGTCCCTCGCTCTGCCCTCGTCAATCTGCAGGGCCCAGCGTGGAGGTGGGCCGACAGCCAGGAACGCGCAAGAGCCCATGTGCACCCGGGTACCGGCAGAGGCCATGTGGGGCTGAGGGGCTTCCAAGGAGCCTCTGGCCAAGGACCATGTGTTTTGACAACTGTCACCAGCCCTGCTCATTCAGAGACTCAACACGAGGCCCCTCCCAGACAAAGAAGCCGCCTGATTAATACGCTGCACCACAGGTACAAGGTTTCCTTCCAAACCCGAAGCGGGGGGAGGGCTGCGAACGGGCAGGGCACCCCGCCCGCCTCCCGCCAACACGAAGAAGAGTTCTTCCACCTCGGAGACGGACACCCACGTGAGGCTGTCTCCTCAGCGACGGGCACCTTTAGCCCGCTTCCGCCTCGCCTCAGCCCGCACCCACCCATCCCACAAAATCAGTCCCAAGTGCGGCTCCTCCGGACGCCCCCACTGACTTGCTTGCCCCACCCCGACTCTGACTCGGATGCCCCCTCCTCGTGCAGGTCTATCACAGCACCATTCTCTCTGCTTCTGCCTCCCCACAAGCATGAGCTACTTTGGGCTCTGGCCAGGAGCAGGTTCTCAGCAAGGCATCCGCCTTCCCTACCTCGCTTCCCACGCTCCTTCCCCTCTGCAGCTCTCAATTCAGACAGACCAGGGCTACACCACTCATGTGGGCAGGTTACCCAACCTTCCTAACGTCAGCTTCTTCATCTGCAACCTGGCGATGAAGACACCACCTGGGTCACGGTCAGTGTGAGGGTTCGAAGCGGCAATGCCTGTAGAGCACACGGCAGGTGCTCATAAGCGGCAGCTCTCCGCACAGCCCGTGCTTCCCAGGATCTCCTCCTCTACCAACACCTGGCCCGCCTCTTCCACTGAGTGCCTTCTCCGTCCCCTGCCTGCCCCCGCCACCGCGCTCAACCCTTGGCATCTCTCTGACAGCATTCTCCAGTCATTTTGGGTCTTATTGCATGTGTGCGTGCTCCCAGGGAGTAGGAATTAAGTCTCACATCGCACATGCATTTAGAATGCCCAGGGCTGCCCTGGTGGCGCAGTGGTTGAGAGTCCGCCTGCTGGTGCAGGGGACACGGGTTCGTGCCCCGGTCCGGGAAGATCCCACATGCCGCAGAGCGGCTGGGCCCGTGAGCCATAGCCGCTGAGCCTGTGCTCCGCAATGGGAGAGGCCACAACAGTGAGAGGCCCGTGTACCGCCAAAAAATAAAATAAATAAATAGAATGCCCAAAGCACAGCAGCCTCGGTGGTGGGCAGCGGGCGGGCGGGGAACTCAGCCACCCTGTAAAGCAGAGGGCAGCAGCAGGCCAGGCTGGGGCAGGAAGTGGCAGGGGATGCTGGGCCTCTGCTAAGGCATGTACCTGAAAGATGCTGCGGGGCAGCAAAGTGGCCCATTACATCCCGTGGCCGAGGATGCAAGAGGGCAGTTCCCAGAGGGCAGGCGTCCCTGGTGCTGCGCTGCTGCTGGGCCGAGATCTAGGTGCCTGGGCTGCAGGGAGAGCTGGGCACGTGTCTGAAAGGCAACCCTCTCCGCCTCGGCCTGCCTGGGTTACACCTGGGGTAACCCTTCGGGGTTTGAATGCCAGCCCCTCGGCTTACTTCTGTGTTTCCAACCAAGTGACTTGGCCTACTTCCACCTCAGCTTCCTTCTCTGTAGGATGGACTTATCAGAATCTACCTCCTGTATTTGCTGTAGGGCTAAATGGGGGGGAATGCTTTAAAACATCTGGCACAGAGCTTGGCATCAAGAGCCAGATGGACTGAGCATGCGCACACATGCAAACTCAGCCACCCCGGCCGCTTCCCATTCCATTCCCAGGAAGGATGGATGAGAGCCCGTCTCTCTGCAAAGGCCCTTACCCCACGGCCATGGGTGGAGTGGTAGCAAGATACAGCAGACCCTCACTCCAACCTGTGGAGGCTCTGAACGAACCTCGCCTCATTGGGTTCAGGCAGTCTGTCCTCAGAAGGTCACGGCATCGTCCACCCTGCAAACATGCGTCCCATCTCTGCACCTTTGCTCAGCTTCTCTGGGCAGGAAACAAGAGCTCTGACTTGGGGCTCACACAGACCTGGATTCCAATCTTGCCTCGGCCACTGAGGCCACCTGCCGGCGGGGTAACCTCGGGCAAGCAATGAGCCTCAGGTTCCTTGTTGGTGAAATGGAGGCAATAACCTCCCCTCTTAAATGAGGATTAAATAAAACAATGCAAGTAAATCACTTATGACTGTGCCTGGCACAGATTAAGTACTCAGTGTTATACAAACCTCAGGGAAAGGACTATTTTTAAATAAATGGTAACTCTGCCCTGTACTTCTGTCTCCCTGGCTGGAAGCAGGCAGAGGCCCAAGCAGAATACAGAGCGGGTGCTTAGGGGAGAATATCCACTGGCCCGGTCTCGCCTCGGTAGTGAGGAAAAGCCTGTGGATATTCTCCTGAACCTGACACACGATGGGAACCCCGCCGACAGGCCTCCCATCCTCACTCCACGGCCTGCGCGGCCCTGTTTTCTCCTCCTGGAAGACGAGGAGCATCTACTGACACCGGAGGCTCGCTGAGTCCTGGGCTCAGGGCTCGGGGAGCGGGAGTCACGAGGCCCTCCTCGGGAACGAGCCCACCGTGCGCAGCCACTGCTCCACGCGGCATGACTGGTGAGTAGGAGCTGGAGTTCCAACGGGACATGAAAAATTCATAGCTTCTTCTACTTGGCTACAAAAATAACATTCTGCTTACTCACTCCCTCTCCCTACCCAGTTTAGACTGAGATGTGTGGGGTGGGTAGTGTGGAGGGTGGCTGCTATAGATGGACGTCTCGTGGGCCCACTGTACCCCCTCCACCATGCAGATCTGTCAGAGCACGAGCTACAGGGCCCGACTGCCCGAGCGTGGCAGGCCCCACAGGCTCCGCGATGCCCAGGTCCTTGTGGGGCGGGACATATCCACTCCCACGACAAGGGAGGATTCGCTACATGCCGAGCCGGGGCCAGGCCTGGTGCTGAATCCACAGCAGTGAGCAAAAGCAGACCCAGGCTGCACTCTGAGGAGCTCCCACTCTGAGGAGGAAGAGGACGGATCTCATTAACCAAGCAACTACTCAACTACAGAAGAGACACCCTTAGGAAAAGCGGTAACAGTAACCACCACAGCAGATACTTCTATAAGCTGACTAGGTGTCGGGCACCGTTCTAGGCACTTCGTCAGATGTTAACATCTCTCATCCACAAAGCTACTTTGTGAGGTAGTTGCTATTTCTGGCCCATTTTACAGATGAGGGAACCGAGGGTCTGACAGGTGACATGACTTGCCCGCAGGAAGTCACGCACCTGGAAAGTTGCGGAGCTAGATTTAAAGCCAGGTACTCTGGCTCCAGCAGCCACACTCTGAGGTATCAACCTGCATTTGTCCTCTTCCCTCCCACCCCCAGAGAGGGAGCTGAAGAGAGCGTTTAGCATGCCAGGGAACAGCTCCTGATCTACTGGCCGGAAGGACATGTGGAAGTTTCCCTATGGAGAACGAGTAAGATGAAAATAAGGGAGACTTTCCAGATAATGCGAACAGCATGTGCAAAGGCCCTGTGGCAGCGAGAACAGAGCCCGGCTGGAGAGAGGAAGGAAGGGAGTGAGGGAGAGCAGGCTGTGTCATGAGGCTGGCAGGGCCACCCTCATGGGGCTGCTGCTGTGTGGGGATTAACCCAAAGGGGGCAAGGGTCAATGTGTGATGACCTGGGAAAAAAAGAGGGTAAAGGGCCTCTACGAGAAACTTGGCAGGAGGAGGAAGGCAGAGGAGCCGTGTTTTAAATGCTGACAGTTGTA